TGGAAAAAAGTAACACACAGATATATTCTGAACACAGGTAGTTCAACTTCCTCGATTTCTTTTCTCTAAGCAATGTCAAGTTTAGTCCGGTTTTTATGTAAATATGAAGTAGTAGTCCAACAGAGCTCTGGGTGCCAACCGACGCTAACAACAACCGTGGAACCAGAAATATACGGAAGCTTACTGCTGAGAAACTCGAGTGAAGATAAATCAACGTTGTAATACCAAAAACTAAAGTAAAAAGCTAATTCAATAAAAGCAGATACCTCTGAGCTCCTCCCGCCGCTAAATGACATAATCCAGACTGACTACAGGTATTTATTTGTCCAAAAGCGGCAGCGCTGATCCCGGCCCTTTCTTCTACACTTCCCCGTAGTTTAGCATCTCTCCTCGGGCCAGTGGCGTGTCACTCCCCCGCTCTCCCTGGTCCTCTCCAAACAACGCTCTGAGAACGCTGATAGTCTTTTGCAACATAGTGTCAAGCGAATTTCTCGCTCAAGTTGAAAAATTTTCACTTGAATTTTAGCTTGAACCAGCGAATGTCGTAACAAACACATCTTCCACACCGCACGGAGCGATCTTTGCGTGAATTTGCATCTTTGCATTGACTTTGTCTGTAATAAAGCATCGCAAAACGCTTGATCCGCTTTCAGTGTGAACACACCATTACACACTGAACCTTCAAGTATTCATAAACAAATGTCAAGATATATAACTTGTAAAACACAATACATGAATACATGAAGAGTGATTTGTATCTGTAAGCCTGTGCCTCTAATTTACAACTCGTGTGTCTTCATTTGTACGTCAACATAGTATTTTACAATGGCAATAAATTTGTGTGTATCCTTTTGTGTCACACAAAAAAATTAGTGCAGGGAAAACACAGCTTTTCCAGTAGATGGAAGTAATGCAACATTTGAAGAAACTATCAATTGAGACATAAAGTAATTAGGAAAGTGTTAGTTGAGGTCATATATCAAGAGAGAAGTAGGATCATTTTTGTCATTTTGACTCCAATCCAATCGGACTTCTTTTCGCCCCCTGCTGGCTATTGGAAAGAATGCAAGTTTGAGACACGTGGGTGCATGGAACAAGTTGAAAACACAACACTGACATATTACCACCTCAATAACTTGTTACTGCAAACAAAATATAATCAACAAATAAAGTGCTGCATGTTACCTTTGGGCAGAGTCAGGCTAGCTGTTTCATCTTTAGCTCTTTAGCAAAGCTGGCTGGCTGATGGCAGCAGCTGGTTTAACCTTCATACATCAAAGGGGTATCCATCTTCTTATCCATCTCTCAGCAAGAAAGCTAATAATTATATTTTCCAAAAGTCACCAAGGGCATATTGATTTCAAGAAATACTGTGGACAAATGGAAATTCATAAAATTAAACACCATTTCGGTTCCATCCTGGAATCAGTGCATCCTTCATTGTGAATTTATGCAGCACCAGTGGGTGGATATAAAATCTCAGACTAATAGAACACACAGATTCAAACCCACACAGGTAGAAATGTGTCCAGTCATACTGAAGGAGGGCCAAAGACTTTATTATTATACTGGAAAGAAAGTGAGGGAAAGTTGCCCAGTGGTGTCATAAAAAGTTAAAAGACAATAAAAGATTAAGAGACAGAGAGCGAGAGAGAGAGAGAGAGAGAGAGAGAGAGAAAATAGTGAGAAAAGATGAAGGAATGATATGTCAATATGTAGCACACACACACACACACACACACACACACACACACACACACAGCAAAAGGATCAGTGGTGAGTCAGCCTCCTGTGAGTCACAGGAGAAATCAGAAATGTCAGACAGAAAAAGAGCACACACACGCTGAACACACATACACGCAGCTATAGACACCAATGTCTGACATTAATGAAGATAACTCTTCTGTTTCCCACTTCTGGGTTCAGGTGACTCACAAACAGAACCCTACGAAACATGTGGGCTCTCTTATCTCCTGATTTTCAGACCTGTACCACAAAGCCATTTTTTCAAACATACTTATTCCTGATTAAGATCACAGTGCAGCCTGCATCTAATAAAACTGGAACAGCAACTATACCTACACAGACTTTAGACGGTCATCTGATGGTAAAAGGAAGCTCCTGCATAATTCTCCATCTTCCTGTGTTGCCCTCTGAGACCCCGAACAGATCCCCAGACCCTAGGGTGAACACCACTGAACCCGCTGCTGCACTAAACGCTGCACTTTAGACTGATCTTTAACTGAATTATCTGAGACTGCAGTGCCCCCAAGAGGAGAGGAAGGGAGGATGCATGGATATTAACTGAGTCATTGCTGTGTGAGCTCTTACAAAGATTACTTTACTTGCTTAATGTACTTAGTTATTGTATATGGATACAATATTGAAGTACTTCTTTATTTCTAATTCTCTACATTTTAGATGGGAAATTATAATATTTACTCCACTAAATTAATTTGATAGCTTTATGTATGTATTTATTTATTTATATCACATCTATAAATATGACGTATGGTTGGGTAGACAGTGTAATGAGCAGAGAGGACAGTGGTTTGTTTGTTTGTTTGTTTTTCCAAACTCTTTTTATTGGTGTTTTTCTGCAGGGTGGACAGTAGTTCTTCAGACACTTTTAACATGCTGTTTTTGGAACATACATACAGCAGTATTAGTGGTATGCAAAACTTGTGCATGTACAATGTACTTGCAGCCAGGGTGAATGTATATGGCCATACACAAACTTACATATCGTAGGACGGTGTTTTTAAGGACAGATGGTGTTAAATTTGCATTTGAGGAGAGACTGAAAACTCTTGTCAGTGTGTACATGATGTGCAGAGAGTTATTTAAAAAAAGAATTTAAGCCACATCTAAAAACTTTCCATTTATATTTGGTTTATTAAATAGTGGAGCTATAGCTAGATTGGCTAGTTAGGTGCATCCATAATTCACATTAACTGTGATATTAATTGGGATGCTAATTTTGGCTAGCAAAAAATACGCTTGAAACAAAATGTACATACCGGAAAAAACAGTCGACTTTCATTAACTGAAAGCACACTGTGAAAAGGTCAGAGTTCTAAAAACATTGACCTAAAAACAAGTTCACGGCTAGTTAAACGTACACAGAGCAGTGGATACGATTTTCCTCTATCCTGATTGACAGGTCGCCATGGTAGCAACTTGAAACTAGTCACTGAGACCCAGTGTTGGGCAAGCTACTTGGAAAATGTAATGAGCTAAGCTACTAGCTATACTACATTAAATGAAGCTTGACTACACAGAAGCTACCCCCCAGCTTAGTTACATCTAAGCTACTTTTAATTTTTTTACATATACACACACTCACACACACAGTAACACAGTATAGGCCTAGTTTATATTTAACCAACTTCATTCCACAGTAGCAATAGAAGAAAGACTAAAAACCTGCTCCAAACAGTGTGTGTGTGAGAGAGAGAGAGCTAAATCAGACACACAGAAACTCTCCTGCTTACTGCCATATCATGGCAGCTAAATGTATTCCTAATGCTACACACGGAGAACCATTGTTGTTTTATAAAGTAGGCCTAATTTAATTATCATATATGTATATGTTTATACTACCACAGTAGAAAGTAAACTCAATCGCATGTGTCTTTATTCCCCTGCAGCAAAGTCGCAGACATCAGCCCAATAATTGGTACGTGATGTCACCGTCACAGGAAGCGCTTCTTCCGGCTGCACATACAGGCCCGTGTGCGGCGGTGGCGTCACTCACTGATCCTTCAGAAATGCTTGGGAAAATGTAGCGTGTGTGGAAGCTACCGCGCTACTCGGTCAATAAAAGAGCTTGATTACTGAAAAGCTATTTGATTCAGAAAATAGCGACGCAACCACCAAGCTACTGAAAAATGTAGTGAAATTAGTAACGGCGCTACTTGTAGCGACGCTACTGCCCAACACTGCTGAGACCATAAACACATTAGGAAAGTGTTTACTGAGGTAATAAATCAAGTGAGAAGTGGGGTCATTTTGACATTGACTCCAATGCCATTGGACTTCTTTTTGCAGCCAGTGGAGTCGCCCCCTTCTGGCCATTAGAGATAATGCAGGTTTAAGGCACTTCCGCATTGGCATCACTTTATTGACCCGGAGGTTTCCGCTTGCGAGCCATGGAAGGGTTGTTTATATAAGGCTACATCTGTTCAAAAGTAAAGGATCTTTAGGCTAAGTACTTCTTCCACAACTGCAAAAACTAGCCTACGATTTGAATATTATTTTTTTTGAGTATTATTACTGATCACATGTAGTTCCCTGTAATGAGCCCAGGTGAGGTTTCATACCAAAAACCTCTAAGCAATAGTTCACAATACAAAAACACAAAATTCCACTTGGAGGTAACAGCGTAGCAGTCGTAGTAGTAGGCTACTAATGTAATATTCTAAACAGGTATGGCAGTGCCAGTGGTAGTAATGATAGTAGCAGCACTAATTGCAGCTATAATGTCACAGCCTGGTGTTGTATAAGTAGTGTTAGGTGCATTAATCCAGTTGCTGATTGTTCTTATTTGCCTGGCTCTCCTCTAATGAGCAGCTATGATTCACTGACAGACACTACCATCCTCCTCCTCCTCCTCCTCCTCCTCGCCACCATCCCCTCCCCTCCCTCTTCCACCCCCTCCAGTGTTGTCACGGCAACAAACCTTTACACTGGAGCTGCGAGTCATCAATCCACGCAGGCGACCCCCACTCTCGATGTTACTGTGACGTCATTGTGACGACTCCACGGCTCGTGTTCAGTATTAGATCTATCCATGGTTTAATGCATGTATTTATTTATTTATCATATATCTGTGTTTTACTACAAGAATGTAATCTCATATAGCCTACCTGGGCTAATAATGTAGCACCATAGTCCACTAGAAGGCTGATAAGGACGACAACAGTAATTATGGTGCTGGTTGTAGAATAACAGAGCATTTGGTTATTTCTTCCTCACAAGTCCTCGCTGTCACATGGGTTGGGGTTGGGCTTGTTTAGGAAGGCATCCAAAACACACATAGGCCTAAACACACCCTCTCACACACACAGACAACCATCTGCACGGTCAGTGGGCAGAAGGCGGATCGTGAGTGGACTCCAGGACTTCCTCAGCGGAGCGGAGCAGAGCCGACAGCGCAGTAAGTGACGCCATCTGACCTTTATAATCCCCAATCATTTTCCCATATGGAAACTGTCTTTTAATGGTGTTACTATCGTCAGAGCAGGAGTTAAACAATACCCTTAGAGTAATATATAGTGTCGAGTCATGTAGATCCCTAACAGCAGGCTACAGGTAACAGGTGACAGCTCACCGTCGGAGCCAAAACATCACAGTAGCCTGTCATTTTCTATAACAGCCCTGTAGTTGTGGCAGTGCGTCTGTGTGGTAATTGCACTGTGATGTGTCTGGACCGGGACCCGGATCCTGGCAGGCGGGAGTGATAGGCTAATTGACTTTAGTGAGGTTTGGCTACAATAATGACTTTCCGCGGGTCAGACGCTGCGATAACGAGGCGAGCAGGCAGGAAAGCCATTTGGTTTTGGCTTTTTTTCTGATTAAGCGCTCATGTAACTCCTGTCAGCTCGGTGCGGCACTTCCTGCTATGGGATCTCAGCGTCGTGTTTGTACTGCATGACTCTTCGGCTGATAGAAAACACGATAAAAGCAGCAGACGTGGGGCTGACTGTTATGTAGCTACTCATTAGTCATGGACAGTAAGAGTTTTGGGGTATGTGGGGTTTTTTTTGTTGTTTTTTTTTGCAAAATGTTTAATTCAGTCATTTCTTTTAATCTAACTTGATTTGTCATTAAAAGTAAATATTGTGTGTTTACAATATTACAAGCACAGGAATATAAAGTGTGAATGAAAAATGAAAGGGTACATGTCACGCTGCAAATGGGCAAACAGTAGAAAAATGAACAGTGGACTGATTTACAGGTGTTCAGTTACTACAGTGAATGTTGATAGTCTGAGTCCAGCAGAGAGAGTGCACCTTGGTGTCGTGGTATCTCCTGTGTCCACCCAGAAAGGGGATGAGAGGTATTATTCCTGAAGCTTGCAGCACCCTCCTCTCTCGACACCTCCTACAGAGAATGTGGTTCCACTGGAGAAGTGCAAGCAGCTGGGTTTCTTAGTTTCACCGCATATTTCGGTCGGTTATCAGATTTTCTTTGGGTTGGTGTGTGCTGGCCATTCTTAGCAGCACAAGATCAATTTACGAAACTGCAATGGAAGCTAACGGGCTTCTTGACTGCTTTGCAGTAGTGATAGGGACAGTTTGGTGTTTAGACATTCATGGCGCTCCTAGTTTGTGCTACAGAATACTCTTCAAATAATCATTATCAGCACAGCCAGATTAGCCTTTTAGGTTAAGGGGCCTCTGGGGAAAAGTTGCTTTTGGGCTCCCATTGACTTCACCATGTGACACTGTGTTTGTCTTTCTTTACCTCTGTGAACTAACACAGCCCAAGGCATCAGTAGCACTCAGTAATCTCTCCGTTTTGTTATTCTCAGATCATGGATGAATCTGCTCCCCGTCCTGGTCGCACTATGTTTGCGTGGCTGGTGGGAGCGTCACAGGTGCTGGGCCTGGCGTCGGTGGTGCTGACCGGTGTGTGGATGGGTCACTATCGAGGGGGCTTCGCCTGGGACGGCTCAGCGCAAGAGTTCAACCTGCACCCTCTGTGCATGGTGCTAGGGATGGTCTTCCTGCAAGGCGATGGTGAGTCCATGCTGATCACTGATCAGCACAACGCTGTCACTCTAGGAGGAAACGGATTCTAATTTAGATCAAAATCACCAGGTGAGATAGGTCTGCTAGATTTGTGGTGTGGTTTGAATTTCTTATTTCACGCTTTGATAAACACCATCCCATAATTACTTTCCTTAACATTTTTTATAGACATCTTTCCAAAAATGGCCCACAATTTTTATATTTTTATCAGATTTTATCGGCAATGACTAGTCCGTTTTATACCACCACATTTACTGCAAACATCTTTAATTCAAACAGCATACAGAACACCATGTAATTTGGAGGTTAAGGAAAAATGGTACTAATGCTGCGTTCCATTTACCTTGGAAGTCGGAGGTCGGTGCTGGGAAAGACGTCGCACCCTAGTTGACAGCGTTCCTTTATAAATGAGAGATTTAACCAAACCAAGACTGATGCCTCTGGATAGTGTTAACAATACCAGTTGATAACAACGCCTTACACAGTATTTTGCCCATGCAAACACCATAGCAACATGTCCACAGATATAAGTTGAACAGGGTTGTGTGTATGACTGATTTAATGAGACACAAATAAGACAGAAGTGCGATAAACGGTGAATTACTACGGCTTTCACTACTTTTGATGCTGGGAGTAGCCATCTTGGATTGTGAGGTCGTGGTTGGTGAGGTTCTCCAGACTTTCCGAGTCGGAAATCTGACTTAAGGAGGCATTCCATTTGAAATTTCTGACTTCCCATGTCAGCTGGAACATAAGAGTCTACAGGAACGCTCTGTAAGGCTATAGGCAATGGCATTAGGCACAGTGGTGCTTTAAGCTAAATGGTAACATCATCATGCTGATATGCGCAAAGTGACTATGCTAACTGATGTTTAGGGGGGTATACGGAGAGCCAAAAGCATCTTTTCTACTCTTAACTCAGTGCAATCTCTCACTTAGCATGTCAGCCTTTCTTTCGCTGGAATCTCTGCTGTTTTAAAACATCTCTACAACGTTCAGTCCTCTCTGTTATTTCAGACATGTCTGCGCTAGTGGACCCTTAGCTCGCACATAGACTCATCTCTTTTATCCTCTAGGGACTTATCTGTAGCAAATGTCATGACAATCAATTAGATAGATACTCGGAACCACAAACGTGAACCTGAGGGTAGTGTTAATCAGGGAATAACCAAAGTCTTCATGATTAATCCTCAATGAATGTCTCTACCAAATGACATAGCAATCCATCACATATTTAGTGAGATATATTTCAGATCCACCGTCAGACAGACATTGCCATTCCTTGAACTAAAAACTTTTAAATAGATTGAAATCCTTCCAGGAAGTGAGCCATCATCTGACCACACCACTGATATCTTCAGATCAACCCGGCTGGTCTTGCATCAGTTTGTAGTCACGGTCAGGCCATTTCCAGATAATATTCTGTAAATTGAGTGAAACTGGGATCTAGAGGTCAGCAGAACATGGATGCTGTATTTTAGTCAGCCTGTTGGCGTGCGTACGTGGTTATGAGTGTGCAGATGTGTGTCTTACCCTCAAGCACTCTGTTTCTGACCTGTTGCATTAAGCTAACACTGTCCAGGCACCCATCAATCTCCCTACCGCCATCCAGTCTGAGTTATACAGAGAGAACGAGAAATTGGTTTGAATCATTGGACATGCCAGTTTGTGTGTGTGTGACCCAGCACAGAATCCAACCAATGGCACAGGAAGGGCCAGTCAGCAAACTGAGCAGCATCTTTTTCAGCTACAGAGCAGAAGGGGTTCACTTTGCCTTTTTCTAAATTAAATCCACGCTTCACCAAATGAGACACTTTCAAAAACTGGACCCTCTAGGTCAGTGTCCGGCAATAGGCGGCCCGCGGGCCACAACTGGCCCGCCAATAATATCTGGCCTGCAGCCAGATTGCTATGGTAGAAGTTCATAGCAGAAAAATAATAAATAAATACATTGATAGCGGCTGATGCTGAAATAGATCTCAGTCATGACAGCAACAGTTACCAACACTTCCTCTTAAGTGATTGTACCTCCATAATAAAAGCGTGTGAATGTTTTTTGCAGCAATGTGTCATGTTGAGCTTTTCCTTTGAAAAGTTCTGAAGGACATTGGAAAGAGTAAAAGCCGTCAGTGAACGTGTGATTGGATTCCCTGTGATTTCCGCAGGGAAATGAAAATGAGTGTCCATAGGTTTTTGAATGCGGATCAAATGCCGGGACGTGCACTCTTTATTGCAAGCATGTGAAAAACGCTAATCAATTTATTTAATAAGGGAGAAAAAAAAAGTCCCCAGGATTTTGGGATCGATCATACAACTCCTCCAATGGGAGTCCGGCATTCTACCAACTGACCTAAATGTGCACATGAGTATCTAAGGGTTTGAAATAATTTGACTGAAATAATGTTCTGGCCCGCCATGTAACGGCTTGAAAAGAATTTGGCCCGATGTCTGCTCTAGGTTGTCCATGTTATACTGCTATTGTATGAAGCCATTAAAGTACAAAAGTGTTAAGGAGTGGTTATGTTTTAAATTTAGCTAAACAATTACAGCTACATGTTCCTCTGTGGATTGAGAAAATCCCACCCTCACAATGATGAAAGATTTAAAAACCATTTGGACCAATTCAGGTTTGTGGACATGTGACTGTAGGCAGGATATTCTCCTTTAAGGCCTGGTCACACCAGCATCATAGAAATACATTCATTCCAATGCTCGCTGTGATCAGAAGATTTTGTCAAATTCAACTTCAGTGAACATCGCTGGAAGAAGCTCATGTAGCCTATTAGCTGTGTTGCACCATCCAGTTTTATTCAACTCTTCTTTTATCGTGGTATAAACTGCTCCACAAAAGAGACAAGTGTTTGGGGAAATAATGTACAGTCCTGTTTAAAAAAAAATAAAAAATAAAATGTCAGGAGGTAGTAGACGGGCCAATATAGCCTGACTGGCTAGTGTGTTAACTGTTAGCTTGCCAGCTACAGTACTTCACCATCTAGCCCTGTTACCAAGCCTCCAGAAAAAATTATTTGTTGAGAGACTGACATTCTGAACAGCGATAAATGTTATGAAGAAATGTAATGAACTAGTCTATCTCAAGCAAAGCCTGGCCTTATCGCTTCCATCGTGAAACGTTACGTGCAAAATTGAATGAATGGTTAAGTTCAGGTACCTAAATCAGTTTTGTTAAGACAGCCGCAGTTGAAGTGGCTCCAGTTCAGCGACTTCTCACTGTTCTAGTAGTGATCTTATCTTATTAGTTGCTGGAAAAACTTTTGGGAATTTGGAACACACAAGGATTTCACCCAATGGAAGCAAGATACAGTTGCATTTCCAAACTGTCACTCAGCTAAGTTATCATCTGTCTCGATGAAGTCTCCACAGCTGATCTTCTTCGAAGGAGAATGCATTTAAAATGGTAAGCTTGTTACAGACAAGCTGCTGTCCAAGTTTTCCATGATGTATTCATGCTGCAGCAAATCCTGGTGATGTCTGTGGTTCCCAGGCATAAAGACAAAGTGAGATGTCGCCGTTTTTCCTCCTCTGATTCCCGCCTGCAGCCCTGGGTACTTCTGCTAATGACAGTAACCAGATTAGTTCAACTGGCTCACAGCTGTCTGTTACAGAGCTAGATTGCATTAGAGCGTTAAAAGCAAAGGTCAGCTGGACATTATACGGGTACTGACGGGGGGGGGGGCGTTAGTAAGAGATGGAAACACCCTGGGGAGGTCGTCACACACAGACACACACATACACCTCAAAGCTAATTCACTGTAATTAAGTCTGCTTTTGTTGCCTCAGGCCACATCCACACTAATGTGGATATGTCTGACAACACAGCCCTTTTCCTCCAGAATCTGTATCCACACTCAGCAGCTTTGGCCACTTCAAATTTATTTGAACACTCGAATCGTGGAGAACGGAAGCTTTCTAAAAGCCTCACATGTGATCGTCTTGTGATCGGTTTGTTGGAATCAGACACACTGTGGTCTCCGTGCTCACCCTGTAAGCAACAAGTGGCACTTGTGGCAGTGTGAAGCTGCTTAGAGGAAATGGTACAAAGCTGCTGGCACAGGTGGGTAGAAGAAAAGATTTAAACTGAACACAATCAGCAATTGTGTTCAGTTCAACTTCTTTCACTTAAAATATTGACTTTTAAATTTTTTTCTGTAATATTACTATATTTGCATAATTTTCCCTTCATAGTAATTTATTCTATTGTGGGTTTCTTCATCAAAATTTTTGTTTTTGTTGAATATTATAAAAAATATTCCTGCTGTGATTGTAAGACTTGGACTGGTTGCTGTCTCATCAGACACCCCTATTCCACTTAGTTTTTGTTGATGAAAATCACATTCTTTTGCATTGCTCATGTATTCTTTTATTAAAAAAATATTTTATTCTGTTGTCATTTGTATTCTACAGTTTCTGACATTGACACTGATGTGATGAAGGACAGATTTAGATAGAGATTAATTGTTTTGCAACACATTCTCAATTCCAACTCATCACGAATGGACACTTCCATGGGGTTTTTGACGTTTAGGGCTCTGCGGTCAAGTTTGCCACAATAAATATGCAACGTCCGGTTAACTATCAAAATAAAAGTACCCGGTAACACTGTAAAAGATCATGGCTTGGGTTAAAAATAACTGTTACTTATGCAAGTAACTTTATTGCGTAACTTAAAGGAAACTTATTATACTGTATTTCCAGTCATATATCGTAATTCTGTGACCCCTGTACGGCAGCTTTGCATGACTCAAAGTTCAAAAAAATTATTTTCTATCTTATACTGACTATTCATGTAGGCCTTCATTTCAGCCTCTGTCTGAAACAAGCTGTAGATGCTCCTGTCTCTTTAAGGCCCCCCTCTCAAAGCCCACTGTCTTTTGATTGGCCAAGCATGTTAGCCAATGAAGCATGTTACAAGGCTGGTGCTGCCACTGAGCAGAGCATTCAGAACAGGAGGAAATCTGAGGTTTTTGCTTTCAGGGATTTCTTTTAAATGCTTTTAATGCGTCATTATTTGAAACTTTGGCCATGTTTAACATGAACATCTGACACTGTAACATTGTGGATAAGTCATAAAATATGGTAAAGCATAATAGGTCTCCTTTAAATAAAACCATTCAATGATGACTTTTTGTCTCACACGGAAACGAACACCGGTCTCCTGGATGAAAGTCTGGTTTCTGGCCCACATTCCACCCAAACCACCTCCTTACTCAGTCTGTAACATTCAAAAAAGGCTTTCCCCAGTGCGTTACAAACTGGCACCAACGGGTCTTGACCATGTGTTCATATGTGATGACTTGGGAGTGAGAACGTGTTGGTTAATGATATGGTAATTGTCTTGGGTGTTTTGAGATGTGGTTCCTCTTTCTGAGTAGTTGCAACAGCCTGTGGCTTTCGTATAAAGATGTGTTGCGTCACATTGTGAATTTGATGCCTGAGACACTAATGTGTCTAATAATGTGTGTTTTCTAAAGAAATTATCTCTCTCTCTCACCCCCCCAGCCATCCTGGTTTACAGAGTATTTAGAAATGAGGCAAAGAGGAACGTAAAGCTGCTGCACGGCATCATTCACCTGCTCGCCCTCATCATGAGCATCATAGGTGAGAGAGAGTTGTGATTGTGTGAAAGTTAATACCAGTGTGTGTGTGTGTGTGTGTGTGTGTGTGTGTGTGTGTGTGCATGTGTGTGTCTGTTTATGAGAGACTGAGACAGAGATGGAGAGAAAAAGGTACCTAAATTTCTGTTTCTGTGTGTGTGTGTGTGCAGGTTTTGTAGCTGTGTTTGACTTCCACAGAACAGCAAAAATTCCAGACATGTACTCTCTACACAGCTGGTGCGGCATGGCTACCATGGTCTTATTCTGTATACAGGTAGCCCACACACACAATACATTTCTTAAGTGTAATGTTATTATTAATTATTAACAGTAACTTCACTTAACACTAACTTTTCTTCCCATAATGCCTCTCAGTGGGTGATGGGTTTGTTCTTCTTCCTGTTTCCTGTTGCGTCGTCATGGTTACGAGCCATGTATCTCCCCATCCATGTGTTTTGCGGTCTGGCTCTGCTGGTTATGGCCATAGGGAGCAGCCTGCTCGGCATCACGGAGAAACTCCTCTTCAGCATCATGTATGTCTGTCTGACTGTCCTTCTGGATCTGTCAGTGTCTCCATTCATATACTTACCTTGAGTGGTATCTAACAATCCTGATTGTTTTGGTTTATTAGTTTATTTTTTGAGATGGCAGCAGAAACCTTGGAAACAAATATCTTCAAAACCTGAACAAATAAAACAAATCTAACTAATCTAAAACTATCATCATGACTACATTCCACTAAAGGTACATGAGAAAATTTGCTTTGAGTAAACCGACCGTTTAGGTGGGAGGAAACGTCCAGGCCTGTTTGAAGTTATAATCCTTAAGGTTTCAGTCCTGGATTTGGTGACAGCGTTGGTTACAGGTGGTGTGTTTTACTACAGCAAACGCTTAAGAGCCGCTGGTTTATCTGCTTCCAGCACATCATACAGCCATCTGCTGATCACGCTAGGAAATGTAGCGTTAGCATTAGCAGTAACTTAATCCAGCTCTGATATGTCAGGAGAGCGAACAAACAGCTGATATTATGTTATGTCGATAACATAAAATTACAAACAGCAATGCTGGATTACATGCTGCATCATTTCGTGTGAATCCCTCGTGTGTAAAAGGCATAAAGGTCTGCGAGTGACAGACTCTGCAATGAAAACTGCAATATAGAGAATTAAATAGGGAATGTAAATACATTGAATGGCTAAAAATGACCATAAATAAGAACTATAAAAACTGGGGTTTTAGATTATAAATGGATTATAACTTCAGTTATAGTGGATTATAACATATAAATTGTCCAAAATCTAAAGAAACTGCTACTCATATCCATCAACTTTAATGTTTTATTTTGAAAAAAAGAAAAGGAAATGTTTGGTTAACTCACTGGGCACTGCAGACGATGGTGATGACAACCTAGATCCACGATCAACGATGTAGTAATAGTTGATGCTGTCGCTATACCATCTATTTATATTCAGCTCCTCTTATATTTAAATACTACGTATACATATACAGTTATATTTTGTATCTTTTTGCATCTGATCTGTGTCTGTCTCTATCTCTGTCTCTGGGCCCAGGCCAACCTACTCTAAATTTGCCTCCGAGGGGGTCCTGGCCAACGTCTTGGGGATCGTGCTGGTGTGTTTTGGGGTGCTGCTAGGCTACCTCATCACCAAAGAGGAGTACAGACGTCCACCAAACCCAGAGGAAGAGGCTCTTTCTGTTCACTTCAAGACCCTGACTGAGGGGGGGTCACCCACAACGCCCTGACCAGGGGCCTCAATGACTAATAGGTACAAAAACCTTTGGTACTAGTCACGTAGATCGCCTCAAGTAAAAAAAGGTCTATCTCTTTAGGGATCCTTTCCATAACGGTGAAACTTGCGTACTTTTGATGGGCGCAAATGCCCACAAGGATTACGTTGCAGCCGTTGCAGTTATTGCAGCCCGTTTTGCAGTTGACGGCTGAGGCGATCTACTGGACCAATTCCAAATCTTTTTGTACCTATTAGCCATTTAGACCCCAAAATATGTAAAACTAGGGCCCAGGTTTCAAACTACCAGAATTACTCTTTAAGATCAGAATACAAGAAACCTTGTAAATGTAAATGCTGTATAAGGAAAATACAATCACACCAAATTATATCAAATGTATAAAAACATTTGAAATTTTATAGAGCAAAGAGTGTTGTCTCCACATGGTTTCTCTGTAGCCACCAAAGCCCCGATGTGTAGTTACATTTTTGTCAACTACGCCGTACAGTGGCTAAATGTGTACATGCGTATTACTCCGAGATATAGAAGTATATATGCAGCTTGTCTTCTGTTCAGAAATTGTTCTGGACTAACAACTTTTGCAGATGGGCCCCGACAGTATATCGCCTCCCACTTCTGCACAATGCTAAAATGGAGCCCTAAACCCAGCTCATACCTGTATCTTTAAAACCCAACGTGACTGAACCCGACTGGTACTGCCAAATGTGAGACCCAGACCTGAACCGAAGCTTTATTTTTGCTTTATTTCTTTTGTTACTGACACAAATTCTTCTTTGCTGTGCGCTACCGGGTTTTGTCTTCACTAACACACTACTTTCGCACTACAAAACTATCAATTACGCTGCAATGAAGTCTGTCCTTTTATGTGACGTCCTACAGTAACTACCTGTGCCAGATCCAAGTGTTGAGAAGCTCAGTCAGTACAGTTTGTCCACAACGTATTTCATTTGTTCATTAGTAAGCTGTTTGTGTTTAAATTAAAAAATACATGTTCAGTGTGTATTCAGGTGAATGTTATTAGTTTAGTGGCTACAGCTGTTAAATTTATATCGTGCTTAACCAAATTACACACGTGTAGCTGCAGTTTGTTTTTGGCCTTGACTTCAGGACTCAGTGCTAGTGCCTAATACAAAGCTTTTACAGAAACTTAGCATATGGATGTTGTTTGTGTTCATGTATGCCTTGAAAGTGTCATATTTCAAAAAGGAAGTGTTAATCTCACTGGGACAACCTTAAATAAACAAACAAGCAAAAAAAGAAATGGAAGTGGGTTTTTTTTGGTCCAGTTTTTCATCTGACTTAACCTTAAAGTTAAAGCTGAAGCAATTATAACACAGTAAATCGCTACATCTGATTATCCCACCGGTGCCTTCAGAAACAGGATGCAATTGCTGACATCCAGAGTATCTAGCAGCTTAAGAGGGACACAGCACGACTCAAGTGATGTAGTAAACCACAGTTTAGATTTGTTTTATTTTTAGTATTTCCATTTATTCCAATATTGTCGAAATAATAATTACTGGTTATTTTTTTTATATTAAACTGCCCAACAGAGTATATTGTAGTTCAAATGAGTTCCACCTCAAGCAGCTGTAACATTAAAGAAATAGTTTGACATCTTGCTCAGGGTGATACGAGAAGATCAATACCACTCAAAGAGCTGTCGCTGGAAAGAGGGGGGGGGGTGGGTGAAGCTCACTCATTTACAGATAGGGTACTTTGGTCCACCTGTCCTAAAGGGCAGTGCAGTTGTCACATATATTGTTTAAAATAGGGCCTTAATCTTGTTACACAAAGTCACACAAAGAGTAAAAAGTTGTGTCCCTGAGCAAGACACTTAACCCCTAGTTGCTCCAGAGATGTGTATGTATAATATAGCAATTGTTGCCCGGGGTCAAACGGACCCTCCTGTTCCCTTGGAACAACTCGTGGGATATTCAGTCCCTGTGTGCTGTTCAGATGATTGTGTGAAAGAAGATCCATGCCGACAGCTCCAAGGGTCAGTCCCCATGCTGTATAGGGACTGTATACACCCAGAAAGAGAGAGATAGACTTAATGCATCTGTCTTTCATTCAGCTTTATTCCTCTCTGTAATGTTAATTCAGCAGTCAGTAATTTCAAGAGCTGATAAAAAAAAACACATTCATGTTGTTTTAAATGCTCAATTAATGTTCTTATGGTAACCATCCTGGGTTTTAAATTCACTTATCTTACACAGTCAAAAAGCCCACAGTAAACCCACTAACAGATTTCACACCAAGTGGGAATAGGCAGGGATTAAGCTTGATTACCTGTGGTGTTTCAAACTCGGGGTCGAGACCCCTATGCAGGTTGGAGGCTACATTATACATGTACAGCACGGCACATTATTTTATTGACGGACAATTTTGTCATCTGGCTACGCCTTTTCTCTTTAAACTAGTCTTGAACATCCAATCAACTTGCTAATAATGTAGTTCATCATTCAAACTGGCCAGAATTACATACCATGACCGGCAGTGACAGGTGAAAACGGCTTGTGAACCAGAGTGATTTAAGTTACCGCATCTTCTCACGGCTGGAGACTCCTGAGCAGTAAGAAATAAGGGCAGTGGTCACAGAGACTGTACCGCGCCAGAGAGGTCAGAGGTTCAATCAGCGTCAGCAACTCTGAAACCAAGCTGCTGATTCAATAGAAACATATAAAGAAATTTACAAAAGAACAGGCATTCGTGTGAATAAAACACATTTTTAAAAATTAACGCTTAGTCCAACTTATTGAATATTGTCCGTTAGACACACCCTCTCTGGACAACTAGCCCCCTCCCCTTGTTACTGTCGCTACGCCTGTCAAGCTTTCCATTCTCAGACAGCAAATATTCTGTTTACAATCATGAGGATCAGATTTACCACAAGCTTTCAGTCCTTTTTGGAACAATCGGGCCTTCATTTTAGACCGAGGTAAGCCAAAGCAGTTCTTATTTCAACCGTTGCTTTTGCCATCTGAAATGAGAACTTTCTCTGTCACAGTTTATCAGCTGTAGCTAGCTAAACAAGAGTAATCAGCTGATTTATATTGGTTATTTGTAAATTTTCTTAGCTCATTTATTGTTAAGATGCATAACTTCTATTCAGTCGGTGTTAATGTACCTTAGAAGTGTTTTGTGCATCTATAATAAGATTTGCCACTTCATTATTTATTTGTTGCTCTGTTTAATGTTTTTGCGATTAATAGATGTACTCTCGAGTTGTTCACGGCAGCTGGCGGTCAAAGTACTGGAACATTATCATTTTCTGGTTCTCTCCGACACTGAAGTCCAGTTAGTGTCTTTGTGTCTCCAGATGGAGAGTCCGGACAGCGAACACACAGCAGTGGCAGCGGGTGGAGTCAGGTGTGTCGGTCCTGACCCGTGGAGATGTCAGAGGAGAACCAGAGACTGAAGAACGTGCTTGTCCCTGGGCTCCTGTACCTCTAGACGGCCCCAGCTCCCTAACAGAATAAACCCCCAGTCGTCTAATGTGAACACTACAGTCTGGAGCTGGGTCTTGCCAGAAAAGTACTGGAAGATAATAATGGAAACACTGCGTGATGACTCGGGTCATTTAGGCCTTGACAAAACATAGGGCCTAATAAAAGATCAATTCTACTGGTCATGGATGAAGTCAGATGTCGAGCAGTCCAGCAAGTCCTGTGTTCGATGCATAGACCAGAAGAGCTCCATTCAAATAATTATTACATTATTTTGTTTTTGTGTTGAACACTGAATGTAGAGCTTTGGGACGGTCGACTGATAAAGTGTTTTTGGACTGTGAAGCGAGCCAGCAAGGGTAGCTCCACTGCTGCCGTCGTTGAAGAAAAGTGGGCTGTTTCGCCGCCTACGGTCCAGAGGAGTTTCAGCGCTCGTCTCAAGTCTTTTGCCTGGCGCTGTGTCTGCTATCGTTGAGGGTTTGCTTTCGTCTGCTTATGAGTTCTGTGCTGCTGCAGACTGAGACAGGTCTGGCAAAAGTGATTTCTACATATGTGGTAGCAGCTGTTTTCACTCTAAACATGGCGTTACTGCTGTTCTGTTCTTAATGAGCTACAACATTGAGTGCGCCGACAAACCTTAACGCAAGCCTGCTTACAACAAAAGCGCACTCAGGTTAACACAGACTAAAGACTAAATTAATTGTTTTGTTTGTCACCTTTATTTTATTTCCATTTCCACACTTGTGTGTGTTAATTCACACAGTACTGTATTTATTGTGTTACTGAAACCAAGATTATTTATTTAGCCTCTCATTGGTCATTGGAGAGAGTCAGAATCATTGCGTCTCTAGACGGGTTTATTGTACAATGAGATGTCTCTTTCACAATTTTACAGCGTTTAAAGTATAAAGAGTTTAAAGGGGTTTCATTCTTTATGGAGTTCATTTCAGGAGCCGATGGTGGAAGGGTTACACAAGCTAACGTTAGCTCTGTGAGTTGGTTGAAAAGCAGCAAATTAATTCATTTGGCTGGGGTTGCTGGAGCATAAACTGCATGAAATACAGGAGCAGAGCAGAACTACATATATACATACTACATAGATATGCTATGCTATTAATTGTGATGCGTAACCTGCAACCAAAGTAATTTAGTATTGGCATAGGCAGTAACGCTCAATTAATACTATAATACTATGGCTAGTTAGCCAGACACGCTAATGATCGCAGCTGAAATGCATTCCTTACACTTGCTCTTGTGTTTTTGGTTTTGGAAAAGCTAGGGGGAAAAAGATATGCCACCCTCTTTATGTCACGTATAGGTGCACACCGCTTCAATGTGACAGAGAAATACAGAGCTTGACAGGCCATGCCTAGTTACCGTTGCTAAGCTATGATTGAACAGTCACTGTGTTGGGGGGAGGGTGCAGCGAACGCACAGTTGGCTTTTCTTGAATTATAATGTAAACTGTAAATGTTTGTAATGTAAATGTTTCCATGGCAACAGGTGTAAAGGGCCCTAGCGTGTCAGTTGGGATTCTTGTGGTTTACATGAATCAGGGCCTTTAGGACTACAGAATACAAAAGACCTTCAACAAAAACAGCTCTACCTGAAGCAACAAAAAAAAAAAAATCAAAAACCTTAAAAAGGCATTTTTACAGGATGATCATTGCAGATCAGGAAGGGATGTTGTGGACCCATAACTGAGCGAAGCAGGACTTCAACTTTACTTAGTCTCTTTGAAAAGGTTTACATTTCAGTCAAAACAAACATATAAAGGCAAATCCAAATAAAAAGCAATATACATTTTTAAGAGAGACAATGTTTGTCCAGTTTAATACGGATATAACTTAAAAAAGATAAATATCACTCATTTGTTTTATATACAGCAAGTCAGTGCTGATTCAATGACAGCGTCGTCCTAGTTTCTCAAACTATGGCTTGGGGCTGGTTCACTGACCGGCATCTGACTGGCACTCGTTTAAGAGCCTGGGTCCTGCAGAGACTGTATCCAGGTTTCCAGTCGTTCACATAATTTCATTTAAGCGCTTGAAAATCTTTTTTAAAGGCGTCGGCAGCAGACAAAGGTGATAGTGGTGCTTCTGTGTCTTTTTTTGTCTGACTGAATGTCACTGTCTAGAGTTGCGGAGTTCATTCAGAGACCTGTTTTAAATGTACTGTAAGCCAGGGATGAACAAGAGGCAAAAGCAGGATTTTTAGAGTGTTTGCTTCCACATCTTCCTCTTCCTCATTGTGCGTTGTCTCTTCTGAACAATAAAGGAGTCGGTATACTTCAAACAAAGTACTTATTTTTCACAAACCAACAACTCAGCAAGCCTGTCCACGTCACGCCACGATTTGAACAGTTATTGCGGAAACTAGTTTGTTTCAAGCATAGCCCGGCCTTAATAATTCCATAGTCCCAGTGAATCTTGGAATATATGAGTGCTTCTTTTGAACCATTCTTCACTAACCCTCCTCCCTTGTCTCTTGACTTAAGATTTAATTGTTTCTCTATACATTGGACTCTACAAAGGGTCTTTTTGGTTTGACAGGAGAGGTAGGGCCTGTCTTTCTGTCACTTGGTCTGTCTGAGTAGCTGTGGATCACTGGCAGTGTTCGAGCCAGCTTCACATCCAGGTAGGAGGGATTCTGACTGGCGACCCGCACCGAGCCTTCACCCTGAGGACCGCTGCCCGGCTGCACCTCGTAGTAGTCGAGCTGGTTGTCATGGAGGAGGTGACCGTTGCGGGCATTGTTGTTGCTGCGGTTGTGGTAGGCGATGGAGGATGGTTGGGCTTGACTGAAGCCTCCTTGATTGACAGGGGTTTTGCTAGGTGAGGTGACGACCGTGTCCACTGAAGACACAGCCCAGGAGCGACTGGGGCTGAGACAGGATGCTGAACTGGATGGAGCTTGTTGATACTGCTGGTGCACTCTCGCGGTCCGGTCACTAACGCCCATAAAAGGAGTGTTCCTTGATGATCGGCCCGCCTCTCCAGGATAAGTACCGCCTCCTTCCATGCATATTTCTGACTGGGGAGAGGAGATCAGAAAGAGGTCATCATGGTAACCAGTAACCCCTCCCACATCTGAAGGTAAATCCATGTGCTGGGCGGAGGCTGAAGACCTGAAGCCTGGGCCATGGTTAGCAGGCTGCCCACCAGCGAGGCTGCAGCTGCTGGCGGAGAAACGGACACTGATACCCTGGGAGTGGACAAGAGGCCTGGGAGGATTAGTGGGGGAAGAGGTTGGGTGGGCACTGAGCGGCCGTCGTAGCCCCCCCTGGTGATGGTATTGATAATCGTGTGATGATGGAAGGTTATCAGGAGGCACCATTGTTGCCTCAGTAACTTCCATGGGGTAGTGGGCTGCTTTGGATTGGTTGCGGCTGAACTGACGGGCCTGCCCAAACCGATTTAGCCCCGCCCTATCCCCTACTCCTTCTCTCCCATAGGCAGATGCAGATCTTGCCTGGCAAGCAAAGTCGACATCCACATCATCTAGTGGATATGAAACTGGCAGGTTAGGCCTGATTTCTAGGGGGCCCGGGCAAATGCCTTCCCCCAGTTCGGCCAGTTCTTGTGGCAGTTGGCCAAACTGGGAGTAGGCAGAAACCATGCTGGTGTGAGCCAAGGAACTGGGCTGACTGGATCTCACAACCTGGACTTTGGCTGGTTGGAGCCACTGGCCTTGAACAGGGTTCTGCTTAGGAAAGGATCTCTGATTGGACAGGTGGTGTTGCTGCTGCACTCCCTGGTTCTGGTCTGAGTAGTGGAGGGCTGAGATGGACTGCGGATGGTGGTGCAGACCTCCATTTCCTGACAATGCAGGCATACTTTCCGACATTGGGCTGGCACGCTGCTGATGCTGCATTGGGGAGAGAGGAGGGCTGAAGTGGTGATAGGAGGAAGACGGGGGGGGAGGCGCAGGGTGACAGGAAGAAGAAGAAGAGGGGGTGTGAGTGGGGCTGGGGAGGTGATGATACAGGTGAGTGGGGGAGAGGGAGGAGGGTGATGGCACTCCAGGGCGGCAGTGGGTGTCAAGACTTTGGCCTACAGGTGGGTGGTGAGAGGAGTGAGGAGGAGCATCTCCTTCCCTCTGGCTTCCCTCTTGTTCTTCCTCCTCCTCTTCCTCCTCTTCCTCCTCTTCCTCGGTAAGCCGCTCCCTGTCCTGCACCTGCAAACAACCTGAATCTCTGCACCTGGCCTCGTTGATGGACATGGGCATATTCGGTTGATAAACATGATGTGCTGAAGGAGGGGGAGAGTCTTGTTGTTGCGCAGCCTGCCGGCACTCTTCCTTGACCCGGGACAGCAGGCGCTGGATCTCCCGGTTGGATGGGCACAGGCGGCTGGCCTCAATCAGGTCCTCCAGGGCTGCACGGAACTGTCTGAATGGTGAGAGAGGGAAAGCAAAAACAGAAATACGATGTCTGAAGATGACATAAAAAGAGAGAGCTCCTATAATAGATGTAGAGAAGTCCAGAGGTCCAAACTATTACAAAAAGTAATACATTAATTTGTCATGTTTCTAATATATTTCTCATTGAGTCAGTGTTCCATACTCAGTCTTTAGTCCCAGAGAGGTCAGTGCTTCAATGTTTTTCCTCCGTGCAAGACTTGGTGTGGAGTTTCTCTTTAGAAGTATGAGATGCACAAAAGTTACACATGCATCCGCGGTGAGTTGTTGACCCAGTGTTTTATGCTAACACTTTCACATACAATGTTGCGAGATGGCATTGCGCTAGAATTATCTCAGAGGCAACATTTCCAATACAATGAGTAATAGAAAATGGAATGAGCCGGACGTTGTGAAAGACTTAAAATGAAGTTTTAATTACAGGAACCTGTGCTGATTTGGCTTGTGTAAAGCGTCTAGCATGACTGCTTATCGTGATCTGCTTGTTATGTCTTGCCTCTGTATTTACTGCTGGCGACAAGCAAAGCGAAAAGGAAACGCCTCCCAACAGCAACACCCGGAAACTGACAACCCCTAGTCATACTAAACTACAGGGGACTTGATTTGGAAGTGTGTAGACACGCCCTAGCGCCATTAGCTCAAGAGAACAGCATGCAAAGGGAGTAAACCCACTAAAGTAAATCTGGATTTGGGACCCCACAAGCACACATTCTTCTTCTGGCAATCCAAGCCTCCTGGCTCATTTCCAGTGTCCTTGGCTTGTGGCACAAGATGGATTAGGACAGGGTAGTGAGGCTGAATCTGCACTCATCCTCGCTTTAATAAAAACATTTCTCACTTCAGTACACAATGGACAAACTACAATGGCATTAGAACACTATTATGAACAGACGTAAGGGTGGGGTGTGAAACTGTGGAGGCTACAAAGCTCCCAAACAATGACAAAAGCCCTGTACTTGTGTGGCCCACGCCTTTGACACTTCCACTAATCTTCCAGTTAACTTGTAAAAACTCTGCAGCTAAACTGGCAGACAGGACAACCATCAAAGAATGACTCTCAGCAGGACATTGATAAAAAAGACATGGCTATTAGTTTAATGCATTGTACTTTTAAAGTGATTTGGTTAGGGTTAGTTTGTTCCATTCAACTTGTCCTTATGTTGCTATGGTTACCTGCGGCTGCGCTTGGCACGGGCCCGGGCATAAAAGGCTTCGTAGGATTTAGCTTTGAGCTCTAGCGCCTTGGTGGCAAACTCCTCAGCGAGGCTAAAATCCTGCAAGCAAATAAAAAGAATTCATGATGGTGCATCAAGATGGAGAACAGGAGATTGTGACAGATGAGATTAATTTCAAAATAAAGTGAAGAGCATTCTTTCTTGGCATTAAACTAAAGCACGTCATGGGTTACAATTAAATTAGGAGTGATTTCAAGTCCATGGATTCTAAATTTGTCTCCAACGTGTACGTTTGTGTGTGTAGGGGGGGAGAGAGAGAGAGAGAGAGAGAGAGAGAGAGAGAGACTCACGTTCATCTTGCGGCGGCAGCGTGACAGGTTGAGCAGCACACACACTCTCAGCTGTCTGAACGTCTTAAGCTCGTCCCCTGGAAACTTCTGGAGAGCTGACTGATAGGAGTGAGCAGCTTCCCTCACTTTACCTTGCTACACACACACACACACACACACACACAAACACAATACTTACAATCTCAAAACAATGTGCATGTGTCTGGTTAAATATGTGTGTGATTAAGTTTGTCTGTGCTTGCGGGTGTTACCTTGTACAATCTGTCTCCCTCTTGGATCAATTTACTAAGCAGGACCATTAAGATGTCTGGTTTAGAGGTCGCCATGGCCCAGGTCGCTGGTCCTACACACACACACACACACACACACACACACACACAGAGGTTTAGGCGTGGCCATTTATGAAACACCTTAAAACAAAAGAAAAAAGTGGATTCCTTGGTTCCATACAAATCAACATGAGCCATGCTCTCATATTTTTAGGCATCTTCTACACTCACTTTCATCCAATCTTTAAAGGAATAGTTTGAAATTTTGGGAAATGTGCTTATTTTCTTTCTCTCTGAGGGTTACAGTAGCTGAGAAGATTGATATCGCTCATGTCTGTATGGTAAAAATGAAGCAACCACCAGCAGCCGGTTAGCTTAGCTTAGCATACAGATTGGAAACAGGGGGAGCCTTCCTTGGAAAACAATAATTGTCATAATGTAGATGTGCTAATATGGTAACTATATGAATCATATGGCCCTCTGGTGGCCTAGTCACTATGTTACCTTGGTTTGAATCTGTCAGGGGACCCTTCTTGCATGTCATACCCCTCTCTCACTCTCATTTCCTGTCTGTATCTCTCAGTAGGAATCATAGGAATAGCACTACTCCGTCATGTTTCTACCTATTTTGGCCCCCTTTCTGAGCAGAGCGATGACAGCTGAGGTGTTTCTGCAGCCGACCGCTCGGTCCAGAGGACGCATCCCGCTGCAATCCACATGCTCCACCGACGCACCGTGATCCACGAGGTGCTGCACCTAAGAAATGGACACAAAACAAGGGCGAGGTTTAATATCTTTCGTGGATATAAAAAGGCGTTTGATTTTTTTGATTTCTTACTTAAAAGGGACGGAGTCTTGTCACCAGCTTTCTTCACTGTTTCTATCAAGAAATACTAAGAACAGTTTGTAAAGACCCATTTAGCTTAGAGTATGGACATGACCGCATTACGTTGTCTTCCGCAGACTCTGGACAGGTAATGCAGTGACAGACGCACCATTTCAAAAATACAGAAAATACAACAGCGACTGCTTGTGTTTTACACACCACTTCTGGGTCACCGCAAAAGGCAGCCAGATCCAAAGGTGTCCGTCCACTGCGGTCAGCATGAGATGTGGCTGCGCCTCTCTCCACCAGCTCCCTGACCAATGGGAGCTTGCCTTTCAGACACGCCCAGCTCAGCGCCGTTAACCCTTCCTTGTCGGTCTGGTCGAGAGAGGCTCCTGAAAACAGGGAGAGAGGGTCAGAGATAATGCCAGGGTCAGATGTCTGAGTTAGGATTAGGTGATTACACTGTGTGAAAGAATCCATTACACAGAACTGTGTAAGCTTTAGTGCAGATTCATTCAAATGAAAACAAGTTGCACAACTTCATCTCCAGAACACGATGCTTTGTTCACTGACTAACCTGCCTTCATCAGGGTCATTTCTTATCACCAAGTCTACAAAACAACATTATCAGCATCCTTTAAAAAAAAATAAAGTTACTCTAAATGGATATAAAAATTGTAAGAGAATTTGCAATAAATAACATAAATAAAAACAAATTTGTTTTGTCATCAAGCTATTGTTGCTGTGGTTGTTAATACAGTTAATACACATGTGGTTACCATGATCCAGTAGCAGCTGGGCAGTGGTCATATGTCCCTCTGAGGCTGCCGTCATCAGAGCTGTTCGACCCTGGTGGTCGACCATGTTCACCTCCACCCCGTGATTCAATAACAACTCCACCACCTGACCGAGAGACACGGACACATCATCAGCATCTCTGGAGCAGGAATCAAAACTAAAACGTTGTCTGTGTGTGTGTTTGTGTGTTCCACCACACCTGGCAGTGGCCACGTCTCACAGCACTGAAGAGCGGAGCCACGCCCCGCCTGTTGCCTTGCTCAACAGCCGCACCCTGATCCAACAACAGCCTGCAAACAGACAGCCGGCCACTTCCTGCTGCTGCGGTCAGAGCTGACAGACAGAGAGAGTGAGACAGCTGGAAACTGGTTCTCTCAATGTAAACATGCACGTTTCAAACAAAAACATCTGTTACAATTCACGCTGGTAAAATATTTGTTGTGGCATGAAACAACACTGCACGTAAGGGATGGTGGGATTTTAACCAAACAAGAAGAAGAGTTCCATTCCCTTTCTGATTGAAAATTGACCTCTGCTCGTAAGATGTTTGGCAAGATGAAGAGTAAACGAATGTCTGGTTGAACAGGAGTGAATCTGGGATTTAGACCTGAAATGATCTGGCAGACTTTACTCTATGAACTGTTTAGAAAAGAACACATTTCGAACACATTAGAGTTTCCAGAAATAACGGCGCACATGTGGTGCATTTTATTTGAGTTGGTTGCAGTTCAAAAAAAAAACAAAGAGAACAACAATATTATGAAGAGTCGTGGAAGATGCATCTATAATATGTTGCAGTATGAAAAGTAAAAACAGATTAAAAAATAATAAAAGGCTTCGACATATAAAGCAGAGTTAGCTTCTTTCATCAATTGCAATAGTACGGTATTGTTATTATCTTGAGCTGTATCTTAATCAGGATGCATCTGAAAGTAACGTATAATCAAATTCTGTAGTCATTCTATTTTGTGATAAAGGTCAAAGTGCCCTGCTGCTTTAAAGGAACATTACTGTGTCACATGTCTGAAGTGTCGATCCCGGGCCCCGCTGGGATGAAAGACGTCTCCGCCAGTCGTTCCAGCTGACAGGCAGAAGTTCCAATGCTACTCTAAGGGGGGGGCAATCTTTATGGCTGACAGGATTTGTTGTTTCATGTGCGTTATTTAAGGAAGCTTTGCAATAAATTCCTCAGGCACTGTGGCACACTCTGGCATTTCCTTCATCTCATGTGTCCTGTGTTCATCTCATCACAGACTGTGTGTCTGTCGCTGATTTGAATTTGTGTCCAGTTGTCAGTTGGAGTTGGGAGACACTGATACCTTTTATATATATATATATATATCTCCTGTCCTCCATCTTGATATACACATACATATACACACACACAGTATGTATTACAACAAAGGAAAGAAACGCACACAAAAGGACTGAAACTGTACTTTTTTTAACATAAATATTGCTCGCTGAAACTGTGTACTTAGTTTGAATATGAATCTTGGGTCTGAGCCGGCACATTAAAAGGCACAGCTGTGTTTACAGGCTATTACCGGCTGTGCTTGTGTGTGTGTTTATGTATCTGTCGTCTGTCCTGCTCACATGCATGTGCTGTAACATATTTCCAGCAGGTTATTGCCTGAAAGGTAGGGGTGGGGCGGGGGTGGGGATCCATTTGTTGATGCATCGCGGCGCAGACAGGGACGATTCTATATCTATTCACAAAATAAAAATTTATTTTGTAATTGTTAATTGATAACGTCGGGCCGAACGCAAAAGGTGCAACTCCCCACCCCTACAGAAAGGAGTGAATTACTTTTATGGCAGGGGGCCCCACAAAAAGTGTAGCCTAGGGGCCAATGAACACTTCAATCCATCACTGCCCTTTAGTAATGTAAAGTAACTGCAGTGTGTGCACTACAAATTACAACTATTTTAATGTACATCTATGTATTAAATATTCAAAATAAATATTTGATCAGATAGATATATGAAATCAGTAGTATTAGTAGTATTCAAATATCTGCACTGGCATTGAGTAGTCGAGTAGTATTCATGCAGTATGAACATGTGTAGTTAATCGGGCACTTTTTGTAGTACCTGTCTCTCCCCACAGACTGTCAGGTGCGTTGATCTCAGGTCTCTCCTCCTCTTCCTCATCTTCCTCTGGAAGATCCAGGAGGTATGATACTATCTACATAGACACACACACAGTCAAGAGAACCACACACACAATAACAAATGTTAATGCAAAATAAACACATAAATATGTGTGTGTGTGTGTGTGTGTGTGTGTGTGTATGCGCGTGCAGTTGACCTCTGTGTGGCCCATGCTGGCTGCAGAAACCAGAGCCTGCTGCACCGCCTGGCACCTGCTCGCCGCCCTCTGGCCGCAGCAGGAAGTGCAGCTCCAGTCCACATGCTTCAGCAGGAAGCGCAGCACCTCCAGGTGGCCCCGCTGAGCCGCGTGTACCAAAACACACCGCCCTGAGCTGTCCACGTGACCCACCTGAGCACACGGGGGAGACAGAGACTTAGGAGCAGTGTCCTGTGCACCTGGAACACTGCAAAGCACGGAGGCAATGGAAAACGGTTTGGACTGTGTTTTGCAGCAGTGACACCACAACTTCAACCTCATTTCAACACACACACACACACACACACACACTAGGCATAAACATCCAATGCTTGAGCTACGCCTTCTATAATTCAATATAGTAGACCAAAAATCTGTTGAATCAGTTTGGATACTGGAAAATGATGCAGGCTAAACTTCAAGAGATTCAACGGGATGTATCTCTATTGGGTAGGATTAATTTAATAAATGATCATGATCCTCAAGGTAACCTTTATGTCACCCCTCAGCTCCTAAAAGATTAGGACAAATGTGTAGAATCATTTATGTGATCATGGAAAAAGCTTCATTTTAACCACATGACGTTATACCTTCCTAGGTTAGACAGTTTGTAGACATTGCTCATTTTCACTTGCACAACTAACACACTGAGATTTGCTCGCTCACAAGCCCCCCGCCTGGGTTAAAGTAGAAACATATTTGTTTGATCTCTTTGTAATTTGGGACACACTCAGGTCAATCTATGTTTTACTGTAATCCCAACAGTCACGTTCCAAGTAATCCCTTTTGACAACTGAAGCATCAGAATGGTATAATACTAAGACTCGAATAGCTGAGTCTGATATTCAAGGTATTCTGGGTAACTTTTGATAATCTGAAACAAAATTCAGATTGCTGAAAATATCTCCAGCTGGGGTGATGCAATATCTTGATGGTATTCGAAAAAGCACAAATTAAAAGATAATGATTTATATTGGCGCTGTCATAAGGAGGCGAGAAAAATAGTACATGTTATAAAACTGTGACAAGGTAAAAGAATTATGGGGGGGGAATAATCTATTTTATAAATTATCAATGTTTCATTTTTTTCCTAAATTGTGGTAAAGTCTACTACAGGTGTTTACTGGATACTTTCTTTTTAAATGTATTTCTTTTTGATAGATGGTTTGTTGGCAAACCTGTCTGTGTACTTCAACACAGTACTATTATTTTTTGTATTATTATGTTGGTTGGTGGGTTGGGTTTAATTGGTGTTATCTGTTTTTATAAGCTCTAAGAAACATTTATATGCTTTGCTGTAACTGATCTCTTGATATAATTTTTTTTTAAAGAAAAAAGAATGTGATTGTAGCATCTTTCACAATAATCTGATGGCATAAATTGTAGTATGTAGAAAAAAATTAGATAAGCCTAATGCAAAATCCCACAACATCCTACAGGAGATCGGTTGATACAAGGGGTTAGTGGCATCCCGCTGCCGCCTCCCACAGTGTCACTGTTCATATGACCACAGGATGGCACCAGAGTACATAGCTTTCAAATTGTGTGGCCTTAAAGAGGTCATTGTATGCTTTTTGGCTTTTTCCCTCTCCTTTATTGAGTTATATCTTTTTTGTGCATGTAACAGGTTTGCAAAGTGAAAAATCCCAAAGTCCAGCCCAAAGGGAGTTCCCATCTCCCACAGAAAGCTCTGCTCTGAACTGCCTGAAAACAGCTCGTTTGTAGTCCAGCCGCTTTCCTGTGACAACACAGGGATGAAAGCAAAATGTGTGTCATAATGCTCGCTGAGCGACTATTCCGACACTCTCTCAAAAACACCGGTGGAAAAACACTGAGCTGCAGCACAGCTCTCCTCTCCCTTCCAAACACTAGCTACTCTCCAGGCAGTCAGTGGCCATAAAGTTGTTACTGTGATGTAGAGACAGAGCTCAGTTAAAACTTTATGGATGAAAGATACTTTTGTTACAGATTAATAACTCACCACTCTGAAACTCTTGATCCAGTTCATGTTGCCAAGCTGGTAAGCAACATGTAGCCTACAGCTGAATCGAAGCTATTTACCATCTTTTCGCTGAACCGACTTTCCCTGCTTCTGATTGGCTAGTGTTCCTTAACTAGGAACTGCGCATGTGCAACTCCCAACAAAGATCATTTAGAGACAAGATGCATCACTCCATAGCTAAAACAAAGCCTCCAACACACAGGGTGAAAAGAGGAGCTGCAGCAATGTGCAGTATGACAAAAATATGGTGTTTTTTGAAAATGAAACCATGTAAACCTGTTCAGGATTTTGAACCTGAAAATGAGCATAATATGGCCTCTTTAAATCTTGAGAGCCAGAAAATCTAGCAAGCAGACATGTAGACGGCTACCTTAGCTCTGTGGTGACTCAACATAGTGACTACGTCCAGATGTCCAGCTGCAGCAGCGAATCCCAGTGCAGTTAAACCATCATTTGACTGAGCATCCACCTAGAAACACAGCACAGAAACCTCATATTTTGTCACAGTAAACTGGCACCATCTTCCAATTACAACCTAGCACAATGTTTCCATAAACTCAGAATTGAAAATATTGATATTAAATATTGAAATTAATAAAATGTTAATGACACCTCAGAAAAACTACAGGGGAAAATTTTTTTTTTACCTGAGCTCCGTGGTCAAGCAACAGTGCCACAGCATCACTGTGGCCAAGGTGAGCGTGGACACACAGCAGGGGGGCGTTGTTGAGGACATCACTACGGAAATCCACATCAGCCCCACCGATAATCAGCAACCTGCTCACCTGGACAGGTAGGGAGCCAAGTTACAGTTCACCTGTATCAGCAACTATGTGTGGACATGTGTGTGTGCAGTCTGTTACCTTGATGTTGGGGGTGTAGAGATTGCGCAGTGATGACAGAGCAGGGCTCAGGCTCTCTGTGCTGTAGGACAGCCACAGCCCCTGCAGAACTGAGGAGGAAACCCCAAGCTTCTTACTCAGACCCTGGAGATGAGAAAAGATGAGACGGGAACAAACAGTTATAATGACAACAGATAAGGGCAGATATTTACATGCACATTTTTTATAATAATAAATCAAGCAACTTGCTGGAAAACAGTAAAATTACTATTTAGAAATAAATTTGTATGTGGCTCTCACCCTCACAACTATTTTACTACACACCGATAGATGTGTTGGCCCTATCTAGCTAATGCCGGCCGCACACCAGAGGATAATTGGGAAGATTTTGGGTCCTATTGGCCCCTCCAGACAATCATGGCATTCCTAGTTGGAATTACCGGCTCAAATAATCCTGTAGTGTGATATCAAACATAAACACGTTTGATATTTATGATTTAAAAGGGAGCATTTGATCGGAAACCCGCAACAGCCATTGAGAGTGAGCTGACTGGGAAGTGTCACCAACGCGTTGTGTATTTGCCCACACTACTACAATGCATACACAAACCATGCTGATTCCCTCTTCCTAGCCATGAGTTCATCCACAGATGTATTCTCTTTTTTGGTTTTTCTGTGCAAAACATAGCACACACAAGTGCAGCTAGCTAACGGTGACTGTCTGCCACCATGTTTGTTCATGTCTGAAGATTCTGTGATCTCCCAAGTCACTCTGTTATCATTTAGTAAACGCCAAGTGTGTGATCCTGCTGAAAAACAGGTTAGATCAGATTAGAAAATTGACTAGTGTTAGTTACGCTAGCATAAAAACAAGTGACGTTAGCATGCATGAAATTCTTGCTGTTTGTATGCCACACTAGTAAAGAGCACAGACTCCCCTTCATTCAGGATATTATAATAGTAGTGTCAGTGTGTATGAAAATCCTACTGTTATGTGCAAAACCTCATATGGCTCTAACCAGATTGTTAGATGCTAACAGAACATTATGCAGCTGAGAGGGAAGTTTCCTTCTTTAGATATTAGAACATTTTCCACTCATTATTTTTGCCATACGTGGCACCATAACAACTCCTAATGTTGGTCCACCATCTAAACCCATTCATACTAAGCCACTTGAAGACTTGGTGTGAGCTAACTTTGTAGATGTGAGCCTTCAGGATGTGATGTCCCAGCTCCAGCATCTGCTGTCGGTTCAACTTTCCTTCCTGTCTGCAGAGCCAGAAGGCCAGGAGAGTGTGACCGCTCCTGGAGACAAACAGGTGGACAGAGAAACAGGCGGCACAGTCAAAACCTCTCTCTTTCTTCCTCTTGTCTTTTTCGCTCTCTCTCGCTCACTGCCTGTCAGTGTACCTGGGGTCGCAGAGGAACCTGTTGTCCTGACCCTCCTCTCTCCACATCAGCCACTCCCTGAAGGAGGCGTGGTTTAGCATCCTGCTGCCGTCACTTCGCCGCAGCAGGAAAGAGGAGAGCTGCTCCAGACGGTGTGCAAACTCCGCCCAGTGCAGTGTTCCTCCAGTCAGAGCGCCCGCATTCACCACCTCAAACAGCTGGAGGAGAGGAACAGTCACAAGTATATACAGTACACGATTTTCAAAGAAACACAAAGGTGTATAGTTTAGTGTGTTGGCATTCTAACATTGGCTAATAAGCGCCAAATGTTAAGTACAGCTGAGGCTGATGATAGAGATGGTTGAAAGGTTAAGGTTCACTCTGACATGAATGCGCACACATTCACACAGACACAGTGATGGTGTGTACCTGCTGGTCGGTCAGTGGTTGCAGTGACGCCACAGTAACGTTGAGCAGCGGCAGAACTCTCTGAAAGGACGACTGGGTGGGAAACCGCATGTTGAGCTGCAGCAGGTAGACCTCTGCTAGACTCACAGGAACCACCTACACACACACACACACACACACACACACTTTTATCATTTATAATAAAACTGACATTTCAACTGTTTCCAGGCCTTACTTCTCAAATGACAGGTCAGCTGCTTTCAGCACATACTCAACAACAACATTTTAAGCGCTTTCAGGCTCCACACGTCGACTCCCACTTTAACTAATATTTACTCTTCAACTGACATTTTAACACCCGTCACTAGTTACATACCAACTGAAACTATTTACAGTGTGCACACTTCAGTCATCTGCAGCTACCACTTCAACTGCCCGTTCAACTGCTTTAAAAGCTTAAAGTGAAACTCCCATACAAAGGCTCACATTTTTGTGACATTTCGATTCCACCATTTCAACTTTATTGATAATGAAATAAAAAAATAAATAACAGTTGCCAAGTAATTATCTACTATAACTGACTAACCTGTAACTTAAAGGTTCAGTGACTAAGACTTAGTGGCATCTAGCAGTGAGGTAGCGAATTGCAACCAGCTGTCCAGTCTACAATTAAAAGCATGAGAACGTTTTTTGCAGCAATGCTTTATTTGGAGTTGAATTGAGAGCTTTTACCTTGAAATATTCTGAACGACATTAAAAGAGTCTGTAGCCTGCTCGACACACCTCTGAAAGAGCCGTAAGAAAACATGATTCCCTTAAATGTCCTCTGCCTGGAGATACTGGGGAAATGCAAAAGCGTCCGTAGGTTGATGGATGCAGATCAAACACCGGAACACTGCAGCACATGCTGTCATGTGAGCCTGAGAAACGGGCGCTTCATAATCAATTTGTTGAAGATGAAAAAAAATTTCACCTGATTTGGATCGGACACACAACCTTCTAGGTAAGAGTCCTGCGCTTTACTGACTGAGCTAACGGAACACTCTATCTATTGGTTTAATATAATATGGTCTTATATTCTGACCCACCATCTGATGGCTAAAACAAATTGCTCCAATACAAAGCTTATTTGCAGACCCCTGCTGTATGTATGTACTTCTTCTTCGAACGAACGTATTCAACGTATTGATGAGCATCTACACTGCCAGAATTCTAGGCAGAAGAACGTAGTAACAAAACGCACTCTGTAGCGCTATTTGTCCATTTTGAGTTACTGTAGAAACATGGCGACGTCCATGGAAGGGGGACCCGAGGTTATGTAGATATAAATGGCTCATTCTAAGGTAATAAAACCTTAACGGTTCATTATGTAATGTCTTTACACACCACTGAAAACATAGTTATGGATCTTATATTGCATTTCTGTCAATAGATCCTCTGAAATATTACACACTGAACATTTCATTTTCCTACCTTCGTTCATTTCACCTGCACTTCACACCCTTTCCTCACCTTGAAGCTGGAGCTCTTTAGGACAAGGTATCCTCCCTCTATCAGGTCCAGGGTCAGTTTCAGGTAGAGGTACGAGCCCTTGCTCAGGCTCTTCAGGTGGCCTATCAGCTTGGCCAGTGCCGTGTTGTCAAGGCGACCATTGCTCAGTGACACGTTGCTCTGGATCTCAGCACTGCTGTGGATTCGCTGCATCAGGTAACCCTGAGAGAATAAAAGACAGATGGATGCACAGACAGACAGATAGAGAGACAGACAGACAAACAGGCAGACTGTGTGCATGGTACCTGCAGGTCCTGGTCTATGGCACTGTTCTCTTCCATCCTGTCCAGAGAGATACGGTGAAAAGGTAGAGAACCAGTGATGTCCTGAGTGATAAAAAGATATTGAAAGTTCAAAATAAGTTTTGTTTGTCAGCAATAACAGTTATTCTCACTGTGGTCTAGCAGCAAAGTTGGTAAATTTGCCATGGACAGCAGGAAGGATGCCCTTCTTACCGCTGAGTAGATGAACACACCCTTTGTTGTTCTTTTGCTACACCTGTAACTTTCCATACTCACCTAGCACTGTATGTAATTTACAATGATAATGGGGACAGATTTATGACTCAAAAGTTTTTTAAACAATAGGTCCTTGATTCCAGACAGAGAAAGTAGCTTTATAGCTAGCGGACAATGATTTTGCTGGCTGAAATGGCAACTCTCACTGGCATATTTTATCAGCTGTAGCTAGCTAACTGACTAACTAATTAAGTAGTTAGTAACCCAACCCTGCTGGCTGTTTAGCTTACATATTTTGTAAATGTACACTTGCTACGACAGAAAGACCTTTAGGTTAAGGATTAACTGATGTGTTTGGCAATGCTATCTTGTTGGCTGTAGACTTTTCCAAAATCAACTATAGAATGGGACAGCGCCGCTAAGGTTAGCTTAAACCCTGATAGCGCCTAGGATGACCTTCCACACAGTGGGAACATACTGCACAGTGGATCTGGTGGTCTTGAACAGGGTTGTTAAACATAACCTGTACCATTTTAGTATTGTAGGTAGCAAGCTAGTTAGCATGCTAAATGTTGCAGCTTATGCTAAATTCAGAGTGTAATGCATTCCTTACACTTTTGCTCTTTCTGTCATGTTTAAGTTGTGGAAAACTCAAAAAAACAAAAACAAAAAAATAAGCACAATACCCTTTCAAACTGTGACACCAAGTATCGCTCTTATTACAGCCATGTGCACATTACTATAGCATGTGGAGAAGTACAAAGCTCGACAGGGAAATTGATTTGAAACTGTAAAAACCTGACTGACTTCTTCATTTTTTGATGTGAATTGTTAGAATGAATACAAACACAACCATCTGATATCACAGTCTAAGTTTTATTGTGTTAAGTGTGTTTTTTGCTGAAGAAAGCAACCAAGGCATTAACGCCAGGAATCCACTGACTCCGGCTACAGCACGTTATGGCTGCGACCCGGTTTTGATGTGTCCATAGCCCGGCGTCAAAGTCCACTGGAAGAGTCTCAGGAGCGTTTCAGCAGCGGAGCGTGCAGCCTGCCTGTTATTAATTTGTCATTTTTTTGCTTCTACTACCTTCTTCAGAGCTCTATGTGACCCTGTTTGGTCAACTTCAGGCAGCATTTCTCACAGGGAGCATTTCAGAATCAGAGCGTTTTGCCTGCCTGATTTTGCTGATAAGTTTAGATTTAGTTGATTTGGTAATCAGGGTTTGTTTTTTATGATTCTACTGTGATTAAGTAGGCTACTTAGTTAAATGATGTCTTTTTGTGTCTGTTTTAACCGTCTTTATTGTTGTTTTACCATTGGAGCACAGGGTGTTTTATTTTGAAAATTGACCGGATTCTCTATGCCGTTCTGTGTCTGACTTCCTGTCTGGTTCATCTGCTCTGTGCTGCTTGACGTGGCATGCATCACAAACAGACCTGCTACCTATTCTCTGCGGAGCGGAGAGCCGCTCCTGGGAAGTTTTTAGACAGTTCTGGGACACACTGCGGCTGCGTCTGGTGGAAGCATTGATTATAATGGCCGCGAATAGCTCCGGCAACCGTGGCACAGCAGTTACGCACTGTAGCCGGAGTGAGTGTATTTTAGGAGTGAGTCATAAAAAGTTACTTAGGGACTTTGGATGCTGCTTGGTTGAACATCAAAGCTTAAATTGTATAAAAATGCCAAGCTTTGGTAGCTTTAATGCATGCATAATTTCCCACAACATCCATCAGCTGAATAAAAAAGTTCAAGTGCTTGTGCTTGTGTGTGTGTGTGTGTGTGTAGTTGTGTATACCTGCTGATTGGTCCTGACAGTGGTAATGACCTTCAACCAGGAAGGAAATTTCTGGATGTTTCGGGACAGGAAGGAAGTCAGTGTGTCACCGTAGTCCGGCCGGTGAAACTCTGCCTCGTTCAGCCCATCAATCAGCATAATAAGCCCCGCCCCCTCAACGTGCAACTTCCTCTCTGGAAAATATAGACCAGAATAGATTAAGTACTGTCCGTGGTTTATCAGAATAGAAGCTAGCAGAACACAGCAGAATCTGAATGTACCTCTGTAGAGAGCGTCCAGTGGTTCTAGTATTCCTCTCTGGAGGGCAGTGCTTGGATCCTGTATGCAGGAGCGCAGGCTAAGCGTACTTTGCAGCTGTGGCGATCGGTGCAGCAGCTCCCGATAGGCCGACAGCTGAGGGGCGTCACTTAGCATCGCCGCCATGTTGTGGACGAACTCCGGAACCAGGCAGGTCTGACAGTTATCAGCTTGACAGAAATGATAAGAGACTACCTGAAAAGACAGATGGAAGACATGAAGCATGACTTGTGGATTTCTTTTCTATCCTTTTAAGTTTCAGCTGGAGAGAAAATGTGTGATAAAATGTGTTTGTCTAGACATTACAAATCAGTAAAATAACATTCTGTGTCATATCCATTTTAACCACCACCAGGTTGCAAGCAGCAGCACACTCAGGTTAAATATGCTAACTACCGGCATACTGGCTTCATGAAAAACTGTGAAATAATTATATTTTAATATGTTAAATAATTTCATAGATGATGATTAACGGAATGGTTTATCCTTTTGGAATAAAGGCTCATTCACTTTCTTACTGACTGATTGATATCACTCTAATTTCTGTGTAGTAAATATCCAGCTGGAGCCAGCAGAGGTGTTTTGTTACGTTTGGACAGAGCCAGGGTAGCGGTTTCCCTCGTCTCCAGTCTTTATGCTAAGCTAAGCTAAGCAAGAGACGTGATAGAGGAGACATGCCACTTTAAGAATCCTCAATATAACTCTATGGGGAGAGCCCGTAACGCCAAAGATGGCGGTTATGCTGCCCCTCCCGCTAGAAACCCAATCGTCTTCCTTTAACAGCCGAGGCGAGAAACATATTTCAGCCAATCGTGTTATTCCACTGACGTAATGGGTCGGGAAAAATGCTTTTTAAACAATATTTTGAGGTAGAGTTATCGAACTTTTTCAGCGATTTTCTTCAGATTTCATTGCAGATTCCACTCATGTAGTTTTTATGTCCAGGTGACCAGTGAAAGTGCTCTTTCCCCATTAATTCAGATAGGAGCCTGGTCTTGTTAGTCCAAAATAGCTGCCCGGAGGCGTTGCCAAGAAGACAGCCGAGTGGCAGGACTTTGCCATCTCCTAGCTGTAGGTACAAATTTTTCTATTCTGCTAAGTGGCATCAATATTCTATTCTAACTCTCTGCAAGAAAGTGAATAATTTTACTTCAGTAAGTTTTAGTAGTATCAAGTATCAAGCGTAAAAGTACTAGCTGCGGGATGTTATTGTTGGGCAGTTTAATCTTAATCTGAAAACAGCATCTTTTTATAAATTAATTTTATGTTTTGTGTGTACAATCTTAACATACAGATAAATGTAGTGGAGTAGAAAGTCTTTTCCCACTGAAAGATCCAGCATCAAGTAGCATAAAATGATGAAAATAATGAAGATAAATACAAATACTTAAAAACTGTATTCAAGTACAGTACTTAAGTTAATGTACTTAGTTACTTTCAACAACTGCTTTCTAGTATCTACTGTGTGGTACCTTAGACATAAATGAAATAAAATGGGGATTACTTGTCCTGCAAGCCTCCTCAGCGCCTCCTCCTGTCTCCTCCTCATCTCTGGAGTCCCTGGACAGCTTCCTCCTCCTCCTTCATCTCCTCCTCCTCCTCCTCTTCCCAAGGAATCATGGGAGAATGAAACAGCCTCTACATCTGGAGTGAAGGTCCGGAGAAGAATATCAGAATAGTTTTACATTTTAAATCTAATGTATTTTTTCTCTGTGGCTCCTGCCTTCTTTACTCTTAACTGCATGTCTACTATTGTATTTCTTTCCACTCCATGATTTAATGGGTTTCTCTGGTGGCTGGCTTGGCTGTAAAGTCTGGTCACTGGTTGGGAGTCTAGCTGATTTTATTATGTTCTGCATGATGACTCAGCTGTCTCTTACAGAACAAATAAGGCTGTCTTTATGGATGGAATAACTCACTGGGGATCCTTTGGCAAGCATGTGATATGGGCTCCTGCCAAAAAATTACTATGTCCCCTTCAAGCATCTACCAAGTGCAGCGTGAGTATACTCACAATAAAGCATTTGTAAAATGACATTGGACCTTTTTATTTTTCTGGAACTGAGACTCCTTTTTGTTTCTGGACTTACATTTAAATGCATGAGAACATGGAGATTTGCCTACATGTCATTTTTCTGGGCGTCTTTGACATAAACTTTCCAAATCCATGAGAAAGGATGGGTCCAGTCACCATGATGCTACTATCTGTATCCATGTGTATTTATGTCATAAAACACCTGTATCTGGATTTCTAATGTGTTAAATTATTTTCCAAAAAAAAAAAGAAAATGGCCCATAACAACTCACTGGGCCATGTTGCATAAGCAAGCATCAAATTATCATGTGCATGCAATATGAGGAGGTCTGGAGAAAAACAAAGTTGAAATATGAAAAAAAAGGAGAAAGCTATTCACAAAAATCTGAAAAGCTCTCATGGTTGTTTTGCACACACAAAATGCAAAATAGAGACAGTCCCTAGCTTCATATTGTCATTTTCCCTTTACTGTCAAGTCCCATAATGTCCCAGCTTCATTATCTGCAGAAGCAGAACAGTCAAGTCAAGCTTTATTCTAAAAGGCCTGGCAAATGTGGTGACGTGTGGTGAAGGTGAAGCCCGCTAAATGTAATACTATCTACACCTTTGTGTATCTATACTCAGCGGCAAGTCTGTATCATTGGAAGTCAAGCTGTTGGCTTCTAACAGTTCCTGTACAGACAACAAGCAGCTGGATTACTGTTGATACTTAGAATATGATGGTTATTTGAATAGGTCTGAAGTTACAAAGAGTACTTTTTAAAATGATTCTTTAACTGTAAAGTGTAGGTTCCATGGATCATTGCAAGATGTGTAAGCCGACTCTGACGAGAAGTGGTGTGATGTCTGTGTCAGAACTGTGTCAACAGTTGGCAGATCAATGGGGGGAAGCGTTAAAAGTCGGATGCTGTTTGTATCTGTTCAGAGCCCATTGTCTGTTAATCTCTGAATAATGTATTCCTATTTGTTTACTTCCCCTAAAATCAATATTATTGTTATATTTTTTTGAGATTGTTCTCTCAGCAAGATGCAGACCAGATGAACTTCAGTGCGTCCATCAAAATTAAAACACGTCGCACAACTTTCCTCCTGCACACTACGCTTCATTCGCCCATTTCAGTGTTTCAGCCCTCATCAGGGAGGTCTGAAGCTTAAACTTAAAGCAAATTTCGTAGGAATATATATATATATATATATAAGTACAGAAGTTAAAGGTCGGTTTTTAAGTGTTGTGCATATTGACACTGACATTAGTTAAGAGTTATCTAGAAATGTTGAATCTGAGTATACAGGCATTTAAAAAATGGGTTGAATGAAAGCATTCAGAAGTTGTTGCTTTGTATTGCTTACGTTTAGGCATGGACTGGTCGTCGGCAGTGCTTGGCCACATGCGGTTTCCATGACAACTGAGCGCCACCAGGCGGGCGATGATGGCCGTTTTACCAAAGCCCATATTGCCAATGATTACCACACCCTGACTGGTTGTTGGGTCGGCACTACGAAGACAAGCGTCCACTTCCTGGAAGAGCCACTCCCTGCCGATGAACAGCCAATCAGACACGAGGCCGGCAACCTCAAAGGGGAGGGGCTTCAGGTTGATAGTGGGAGTGAAACAAACTGCAGGAGAAGAGGGGAGGATAGGAGCAATGCTGCTTGAAAAATAGTTGACTGTATGTTTGTTTGAAAGCACGTGCATGTAGGGCTGGGCAATAAAATAATAAATAATAAGAAATAAGAAATAATTATTTGACATTTATTGTGATATATTTATTGTGATATTTATCGATTTTGAATCAAAAAATTTTATCGTGATAACAGTTTTAGCCATTTCGCTCAGCCCTACGCCTGTGTTGGATGTGTTTACCTCTGTGGTCCTGTTGACTACGACTCGCAGAATTCTGTCTGGGCATTCTGAGGGACGCCCTTGAAGGGGTGTGTCTCTGCTGCTCATCCAGATATGCTAGATCTTCAAGGTGGGCAGAACTAGTAGCTAGAGAGTGAGAGAGAATGATGAAGAAACCTCATTCTGCATCATAGGACAACAACAATGGCCCCCATTGTTTTCATCAAAATTCATCAAAATCAGGCTCATGCATACTGTAGAATTTACAGCCATTGGCTATGCCAAACTGAATACAAATGATTTCTAAATTATCAAAACATTTTGCTATGAAGGTGTTTGTGTACGGATAAAAGATACAGCATATTAACTAGAGCACTTTAGAGGTGTTGGTATGTGTATTTATTTTCAAAGAGCCAGGCTAGCTGCTTTTACCTGTTTGCAGTCTTTATGCAAAGCCAGGCTAAACCATAGACTGTATATAAAAATGCCCAGAATTCAGCTCTGTACTAGTAACACAGCTAAGAAACAGTTAACCATTTTGACAAATACGCTTTTTAGCTTTCATGGTGAGAGTAACATGAGAAGATCGATACCACTCTCATGTCTACGCGGTAAATATGAAGCCACAGCCAGGAGATGGTTAGCTTAGCTTAGCACAAATACTGGAAACCAGGGTGAAAAGCTTGCCTGCTTCTGCCAAAAGGTAACAAAATCTGTAGCAATTTTAGTTAACTCATCAACATGTTATATTTAGTTAGCTTAATCTCAACAAAAAACAAAATGTAAAAACAACAAGTATTGGTTTTACAGGTGTTTGTGTGTCGGACTATTTTCCGGCCTTGAGTAGTGACTTCCTGGATTCTCCGCTAGTTGCCTGGCAACATCATTGTGTCGAAAAATGTCCCTGAATTGACCCTTCACTAAGCCACGCCCCCCCTTAGCTACTGTTGCTAAGTTCAATGAACTCTCAGACCTGTCGGACTTTTAGCACAGTCTATTACTGCATTCCTTGGAGAAATATTGTCTAATTTTTGGAAAAAAGCGATCTCAGAAAGCAGCAAGTTTTGCAGTTGCACTGTGCATTTGAAGGTTGTATTCAGGCTGTCAAACTGACTCAAACTGAGGTGAAAAAATAATGATAGAAGCTAAAGCCTACCGATCACAGAGTAAAAGTGAACCACCGTATTATTATTGACTGTTGAGAAAGCGGAGAATGAAGGATCAACACAACTCCTGTACAGATGGCTAGGTCTCTATTCACTATTACAATCATTAAAAAGCAGAACAGTAGAGCTTTATAACGTTACATTCAGTAGTTAGTTAGAAGAAGTTTAAAAGTGACTCCTTTTGCATTACAGTCATTGGAGCGCAGCCACGACAGTGTCGGACCTCAGTTAGAGTGAGTCCTATACTGCGCTGTGTGTGGCCAGCTGCGTATTCGGGATGTGGCTTAGCGAAGGTTCAATTGTGCGTAACTTTGAATTTATGAACTCAGTGCTATTGTGCCACAACAAATAAATCCACAGCCTGTAGGACCACTGCAGGAACCCATACCAACAAGTGAATATCTAAATACCACAAAAAAAAACAAACATTTGAAACCATTTCAAAACTGTGTGTAGACCCACAGTAGTTCTGTCAATTTGTGGTTAAAAGTTACATTTTTAGTAACATCGATAGAAAAGTGAAGAACAGGCAGGATGTCTAAAAAAATTCTAAGGAGTGCAGTGATTTCCATAGCTGCTATAAAGCTGATTAGGAAGCTAACAAAGTGCTGACAAAAATGGAAACTTTGAGTTGCCTCGACTCCCGACAAAAACAGAGAGAAACCTACCAAAAGTTTGGTCCACTCAATTCATTTTTAATCCACTAACACCGCAGAGAACGTCAGTGCCGACTGTGCCTCGTATCCTGTATGTGTGTGTGTTTTGAGAAATGTCACACATGTCACTTCCTCCCTTTCCCAAAGCGCTCACAGTTTTTAGTTTTTATGAGACTCAGAGGAAAGGGAAGAGGAAGATATGCCCAGGCGTTGTCAGTTTTTCAGCCTAGTTGTTTTGTTTACAAACTACAGACATGGAGCTCATTATTACCTCCTTTTTATATTTCTGTTTGGGTACACGTTAAACAAAGAGATACACTTGTTATCTCATAAGCTTTAGAGGTGTTCCTATGCTTTTTTTATTTGGACAGAGCCAGGACTGTCTCCCCCTTCTCCCAGTCTTAATGCTAAGCTAGGCTAACAACGTCATGACTCCAGCGCACACACAACACACATGAGATTGTTATAAATCTTCTTATCTCAGTCTTGGAATGAAAAATAAGTCTCCTAAATATTGAGGTATTCCTATTAGCTCAGGATGAATAAAGAAAATAGTAGCGTAAAGCTGTATGTGTTGCTAAGCACAAAGTAAAGGAAACTACAGATAGTGTAAGTGTGAAAAAAAATTTGCAGAAAAGAAATGAATGTTTAATAAGGTCCATCTGACTGAAATGCATTTATAATCTACCGTTATCTACCGTAATTAAAGCTGCATAAATGTTTTTGTGAAAAAAACAACATTGACACATTATCACAGTATAAGGTTGATGATCACATTTTAGCAAATAGTTGTCTATTTACATGACAGCCGTTGCTAAGCTAATAGATATTAGCTAACATCGTCCTTAAAGTCATAGTGAAAGTTAGGCATCTTTAGCTTCTGTAATTTGATGTATCTCCCTGGGGGACAGAATATGTGGGGGTGGGGTTTAGTTACAAGATGGATTTAAATAAAATCTTTCAAATTTGATTGGATCACTCAGAAGTGGGCAAGGCTTAGCAAATAACGGCGTAACACAAAGCTGCAGTAAGTTACGTCGTTGTAGAGTACTGTTGCCCCCCCCTCACTTGTGTTGTTAGGAACAGGATGAGGGACAAATTAACAAATAAGCGCATAATCACGCAGATAACTGAACAATTAACACAGGGAGACACAAACTTTGTTTTTTGACTGAACCAGTCAAGAGTTTGATGATAATTTGCTTGTTAACATCAAAATATTCATTAATGCAACTTTAGCAGCTTGACCAGATATTTCTTCCTTCTTCTGTGGAAAAGCTAACGACACTGAGGCAGTCACTGTTTGGAATCTTTTTGGAAATGAAGATGAAATTATGATGTTAGTGTGGTAACCTATATATGCTTCTGTTTGTTCAAAGCCCTGTTCCCCCCAGGGTGGACACATAATTATCTCGGAAGCAAGGTTTTGTTTTCTCACTACAAACTAGTGAACTCACTATAGCTGAGAAAGAGTGATGTAATTCCTTCCTAACAGGAAAGAGTGTGTGGGAGCACAGTGCAGGACTGGAAACCACTTCATTCACACATGCATGCGCACATACACACACACACACCCACGCACACATCATTTGCCATCTTACCAGCGACTGAATTAGGGCGGGGCATGAGGTAGAGAGGGATGGAGTGGGTGGAGCCTGATGAGCGGGCGGGGCCAGAGCCACGGTCTGGGTGGAGTTTGTTGAGGCTGTAGGTGGAGGCGGCCATGTTGTCCTCCGCCCTGTACAGGAAGTCGTCATTCACTCTTCCTGCTGCTACCATACACGAGGAGGAAGTGGAAGCCACCACGGGCCGCCCCCCCTGCTGCCAGAGGTTTGGGCTGCTGCCATGGTAACCATCACCGGGGTACTTAGCGCTGCCGTCTCTCTCTGCTGCTGATTCAGCAGAATAGCTGGTCAACGTAGCTGATAGAGGGAGGGAAAGACAGGGAAAGTTAATAAGTTAACAGTATAAGGGTTTGTTTTTAGGAAGCCGTGTCTACAGCGTGTCACCTATGATGCCACTGTCTCTGCTCTCCAGTGTTGAGGTGGGGGAGGTGACGGAGGCGTGGTTAGTGGAGGCATGCTTGTTGCCCTCCTCTCCTGCAGGAGGCTGCAGTGTAGAGCAGGGGGAGGTGCTGCTACTGGCCAGACTGGAGGAAGGAGAGATCCTCTGTGGGAAAGAGAAGATGCATTGCATTTATGTATCTATGTTGAATTCCCACTGTTCTTCTCACTGTTATTGTCCATCATATATTACTGAGACAATTCTGCACCTTTTTGTGGCTGTCCAATAAATACTGATGGTAAATGCAGTCCATTAGAGCCATATATTCAGTACAGTGACCTTGAAAGCTGACTTCGCCAAGTAGTTCTCCCTACCATCGCACAGGATCATTCTGCTGCAATCAATTTCAGAGTGTGTGTGTTACTATGCATGAAATTTTCCCTCCTCACTTGGACAGAAGCGTGTTGGAGACCTTTAGGATTCCAAAGATAAACTGGAAAAGTCAACCAGCAGGGTCGAGAGGGCAGAGTGAGTATTTCTGTCACCTAACACTATGTATTGGCCAATAACAAGTACTAACAGCTAGAGTGCTATGTTGTAAATAAATAAAAAAAGACATGAACTAAATAATCACATGTAAAATATATAAATAAAACAACAATTTGTGAAATCAGTTAAGGAATTATTAAAACTTGAAATGCTATTTCATCATTCTCATTTTCACACTAACAGCAGTTTGATTACATAATAGAAATTCTTGCTAGCCTCTCAAGTTAGATGCTACCAGATTCAGCCAGTTAGCACTTGTTAGCTACCTGACTAGTCTCACCTTGCTGTCAGCTCTACCACGTGCTATTATTAAAAGGCTAAAACAAGAAAATTTCATCACATCACACCAATTTTATCTTCTCTTCATTGGCTCACAAACCATATCAGATCAGACTTGGCTGTATTGAAACCGGTCTTGTTTGGTTCGACTGAATCTCACTAGAGTTTGTTTTCAGGTGTGAATACATTAAGCACTTGGGTGTGGACCAAACAACGGTACCGAGACCCAGCTGAAGATGTGGTTCTCGGTCTGTTTCCAAACAAAATCTGGTACAGTTCGTTTAAGGTGTGAACGGAGCCCAGCCTCGGTCTCAGTTAACAGGCTTTTGTAGCCAGCTCAGATTGTGTTTTTAGTTACACTGGTAACTACTAGCAGACTGGCCATCAGGAGCACCGGCACATTTCCCGGTGGCATGAGGGCTGTTTTTGCCTGCTGTTAATTGTCAAATTGACCAACGATAATATAGCAAGCTCTTTTTATAATTTCAAGCAGGATAATCCATGCACCAAATATGATATCCAGACTCTTGTCATTTGAGAATGTAAAGGTTGAGCTGTGTCACAGGCAGTGCTGGGACGCGTTACTGTTATCAGATTACTTTTGTCTGTAACGCAACACATTACTGTTGATAACTTCAGTAATCACATTACAGTTACTAATAACTAAATCATTGCGTTACTTGCGAACTGGTTCTCGAACTATCCACATAACGGGAGAAGAAAAATAAATCAAACCTCCCTTTTGTGTGTGCGTAACACTTTTCCAACCTCACTTTTGTCTTGAGTGCCAGTTCATGGGGACGCAGAAATTGCAGAGCTGCCAAAGACGTCTTTCAAGGGGTGGAGGTATTACTTCACATTGTTTCACCTGTGACAAAGCTCTATAGCCTGGCCAGTCTTGTGCTGACTCTGAGGAGGAACAGCTTTTCTGGCAAACGATTTGAGAGACTCCTGATCAGGGTGCGAACCACAGGGGAGCCAGAGGGAGCTTAGCTCCCCTTAATAAGACATCAGCTCCCCTAAAAGTGTGATTTCTGATATTTTGTGGGTCTCTAAAATATTGACAGCATGCTTTATTGCCATTAATCTCTATATTTCTCTATCATCATGGATCATGTGGAGTGTCGGACTTCATCCAGCCCCTCTCCCTCTCCGGTACGGGTTGTGTCGCTAAGCGCTATGAACGGTTTGTGATCGTTCCCTCTGGCTGGATGAATATTACGCATGATCCATGCACTACTGCAGCTCGAGGATCCCCGCAGCGCCATGCAAATTTCTAAATTCTTCCTTCTCACGGAGAAAAGACAGGTCAGGTCGCAAACACAGCCGCAGCCGTCGAGCGTAATTGTGGCAAAATGACCACATATGATAATAATAATAATAGCCTAATTATTATTATATATATAATAACATACATGCCTGATTCTTTCACTGTCAGCCCCAGGCCTACATGCTTGCAGCTATTAATGATTCACAGTCTGTAGTATTGTACTCTAGCCTTGTTCTTCTCTTGACAAATGTTGGGCTGATGTTCACAACTCTGTTGTCACTTTGCACTAGAGCATAAAAGAGAGATCCTGTGTGTGTTCTCATTATAATAAGGGTTTGTGTTGATCTGAGCATATATGAGGTGTAACTTAATTGTTATTGTGCATCACTGTTGATGTTACACAGTAATCTAAAAGTTATGTAACTAGTTACTTTCAGCAGTGAGTAATCTAGTAAAGTAAGGGATTACTTTTTTAAAAAAGTAACTAGTAATGTGTAATCCATTACCTTTTTTGAGTAACTACCGCAACACTGGTCACAGGGCAGCCAGTCCGTCAGACCTGTAGACCGTCAGGCCCCAAATAATCTCTGTCTGTCATCACATGCGATGGTCATGTGCAAATACACATCAGCATAACGTTCAGTCAATGCATGTAGTTTGTGTGCCCACCCAGGAAAACGAGATAACGAGAAAAGGCAGCGCTGACACTGAGAGCATTAACAGGATAAAAGCTAGGAGGAAAGTGCCGATAAATTATGTAAAATACCAGATATCTTCATGAATAAGGGACATGGTAGGTGTTTCAGAAAGATAAAAACATACTAGCAAAACTGGCATCATATGACAACATATGACCATATCACAAGTACCTGTGTGCCTAGGCAGAGTGTGACAGAGTCAGATTTATTTTGTAATTAGGGGTGATGAAATGGCTAAACATGACTCATCAGTGACAGCACTACACACAGCAGTATGTAGTAATGTTAGCAGTAATAACCTGTTGTATTAACATAGCCTCTCTCTATGATCCGTCTTCTGCGCAGTGCTGCTCTCAGCATGCCATGGTAGGCACACAGAGCACGCTCTCTCCGCCGGAGCTTATATAGCGCAGTTTGGTTTGGGAATCAAAAGCTTCCTGCTTTGTTACAAATTCTAGTTTACATGCAAAAAGGGCTGTGTCAAAGTGGAACACAAAAAAACAAGTGAAGTAGCAGACTTTCCTGGTCTGAATGTGCCCTAAGATGCTTCTAATGACTTACAAAATTGTAATCGGCAAGCCCTTTCCTACCCGTCTGACCTCCCTAAAGTGTATATCCCATTCTGTGCTCTCTGCTCTCAGAATACAGGGCTTAGAGGCTTTCTGTCCCCAGAGTCAAAACGAAGTCAGCCGGGCACAGGGCCCCTTTCCTCTGGAATAACCTTCCTGTTGATTTCAGACAGCCTGACTCTGTCGGGGCCTTAACCTTGGGTAGTAACAAGTAACTCAAGTAACTTTTTTGAGAAAATTGTACTGTACTAGAGTTGTTTTAATGCACCATACTTTTTACTCTTGAGTAGATTTTTCGAGAAAAATCATTCTTTTTACTTTATTTATTATTTCATGCATTCATGATTTGTTAAGAGGCAGGTGGTCAGCCGGTCCCAGGTCTGCTGGCGCTGTGTCCTCCACATAACTCTGTTCAGAGCAGCATTTTATTTCTATTTTGAATAGTGCTACTATAGCTAATATTTACAGACTAAATAAATGTCCATAGTGCAGCGAGCTCCGGTTGTGAGCGGTGAAGTGAGGTCAGTACATCAGAGATCTGTGCCGACACTGACACTGTGTCTGCTGTGTTAATGCTAATAGATTTAATAAAACATACGCACTGTGCAGTTTATCATGCTTCAAAACTAATCCTACTCCTGCTTTCCTGCCATCATGTTCAAGCGAGCAGTTTGCATTTAACTAGTCATGCTGGTGTAGCCTGATGAAGAGAGACAGACAACTAGTGACAAAATTATGTACACAAAGAAAAAAAAATCAACTTTTACTTTGACTGATACAACGTTTCAACCACAGACGAAAAAGGCAAAAGTGAAGAAGTGAACACATATTGTATTGAATAGGCAATTAAAGATGTAACATCCCAGCATTTTCTACATGAGTCATCTGATGTGAGACATTTTCAGAAAGATTAAACAGATTTGGCCACTTCTCTAATCTTCATGTGATTGGACTGGGATGGAAACTGAGACTCGGGACATCTATACGAGAATGATCAACGTTTAAGGACACTGTAACATTTGGAGACACTTTATATTTGCCTTTTCACTTAACAGAATATTATGCACATGCACACGATTGGCTGATTTATTTGCTAGATCATAAAATAATGTCAGTGACAACAAGCTAAGAATGTAAGAAAAAAACAATCCTTATAATTATTAATGGAGTTTAATATCAATGTGATATTTTGCGATCACACTTGAGAAACACATATTATGTCCTGGGATTTTGATTGGTTTTGGCAGCACTAAATGCAACCTAGATGTGTGTAAGTGTGCATCTGTGTGTGAGCTGATTACCTGTCCATCATCCTGGCCATGGTAAGGGGACCCCGGCTCTCCACTGACTGTCTTTTCCCCCAACAGGAAGCCCAGCCTGGTCATCAGAGCATCAGCCGCCTCGTCTACAGTGGGGGGCGGTCCTAACTCCTCATCCTCACCTGGAGAGTGAAGAAAAGGGGAAATGGATATACAATTAGGGCAGTGGAATTAAGCTTACGTTAAGACTTAAATATTATCACCTCTTTACTTGACATGGCCGACACATAAAGTAGATACGGAGCAACATTTTCATTCAGTTATGTTTTTGTCCACTGAATGCAAGTCCAATATTCACTCTCTTTTTAGGTCTGTTTTAGTCTCCATTAACTCCAGAGAAACATATCTTACACTTACACACTGCTTAATGTTTCACTATGTTCATCAGCTAGTGGCACACTTTGTCTGCTGTTTGATGCTGAGCAGGTAGCGTCTCTTTACAATATAGTGCCATCATCACGTGACATTTTTAGACTGTCCATCACTATGTGTTTAGTACTAATTAGCAAATATTAACATGTTACCACGCTCGACTAAGATGGTAAACATGTTAGACATTATACCTGCTGATCAGCTGCATGTAACTGTGAGCATGTTAGCATGACATTACATATCAGGGCGGCTGTGGCTCAGGAGGTAGAGCGGGTTGGCCGTTAATGGGAAGGTTGCATGTCGAAGTGTCCTTGGGCAAGATACTGAACCAAGCTATTCCGCCAGTGTATGAGTGAGTGTGAATGTTAGTTTCCGTTTGAGCACTTAGGCTCAGTGTATGTGTGTGACTGGTGAATGCAGATGTAGTGTAAAAGCGCTTTGAGTGGTCGAAAAGACTAGAAAGCGCATTTACGGAGCATATCGCTTCACTGAGCTGCTAGCTAGCCAAAAACCACACTATGAGTGACGTAAAGTAAAGTTGCATGCTGGAAAACTAAAACAATGAACTGAAAGATGCATTTAAGCTCTGTAGAGCTCAAGAAAACTGCAGTGTTGGTGATAATTCTCTGTGGATTCATCACTACAGGCGACACCTTTGACATACACCTCATCAGTCATGTGAGCCATTTCAATATATTGATGGATGCTTTAAGAATCTATACCACTCTCATGTCTCTATGGTAAATACGAAGCTACCACCAGCAGACAGTTAGCATAGCTTAGCACAAAGATTGAAAACAGGAGGAAACAGCTAGCCTGGCTCTGTCCAAAGCTAACAAAATCCGCCTGCCTGCATATTTAAACAGAGCTCTACCCTGACCTTTTTCACAAGGAGCACATGTGCTCCTAATTTTACAAAATTCAGGAGCATGCAAAGATATTTAAGAGCACAGTGAAAAATGTAACAGAGAACATATTTATACTACATATGTGTGCTTCTTCTCCTTGTGAGCAATAATGATGTGAATGAAATTGAAAACCACGGTATCTGGATACGTGGCATGCACCTTAAAATATTGTTTTAAGATTTTTTGAATACTGATTCAGATTTTGTAAAAATTTAACATGTTGAAAACAAACACTGATCACTCATCACATGATAAGAAATCATTATGGAAAACATAACTGGTGCATTGTAGCTTTTGGCATAGGGACTTTTTGACATAGTTTTTGAACCAGGGACGGATACAAGATACACCAGCTGCACCCACACCACCCACACCACACTTGATGTAAAGAAGATTACTGAAGAATATTTAACAATAACTTCAGTAAAACAGATGTAAGGCAGAACAAGGGAAACATGTTGCTCTCAGGAGGAGACAGATAGAAGGAACACATGTTGGCACAATGGCTTTCTGGCTCTGACAAAATCTACATCTGTCCACTGCAGAGGCTCTCTCCACAGCCTGGAGGAGGAACTAATATAAATGACTTTATTAGTATCAAATTAAAACATTAAATAATGTATATAATGATCGTATAGGCTAATATTATACTGTTAGTATAATGCTAATTTAATAATTATATTATGTTACTATTTTCATTATAACTTCATATAATCATATACTAGTTTACCACGAGTAGACTATAATATTAAATCCAGTTACAGCAATTTCACTTTTGTGGGTTGTTTTTCTTCATTAAATCCTTGTTCAAAAAAATGCTCTACATGGTGATTAAGTTAGTTTCTAATTAGTAAATGCTAAGTACTAACTTGTTAATAATCATAACCATTAATGCATAACAATGAGCTCAACATATGAAAGTTTTCTGTAGCACGTCAAACTTTTTTCAATGTCCTGCCCCATCCAGGCTGCGATTGGAGGGGTCACGAAAATTGACACTGATGAGCAGATCAACTTTATGAAAAGTTGAACATGTTTCAACAAAAGGCAGTAATATAGCTAAATAGCCAACTTGCTAAACCCAAATATTCCTTATCTTCTTCCTATTTTCTCCTATCTCACCGCTTCAGCTGTCGCGGATTTTGCATAATGAGCTGCTCAATCGGCCACAGAGCGACCCATCGGTAGGTTGTAGTGTTTACTTGCACATTGTGCTCGTAAATCATTTTTCCGGTTCGCATATATTTATTTTTATTCCGCTGAAGTGCACACACTGGAGCATTTGCATTTTCCTTAAGAAATCAGCTATATTTTGCTTTGGTGATTACTCTCCCTATTTCCTAGCTGTTTGCTCGTTGCACTGCTAAGGCTGGACTAGCATCTTAATTTTTGCAGAGCTGCAATTGTCATAGGTAACCTTTACAGTAGAGTGGACATAAATGGGTATAAATCTGTCCAATCAGAAGAGACTTTGGAAGAGAACATAAAACTAGGGCTGCAAAGATTAGTCGACGTAATCGACGACGTCGATTATAAAAATCTGTTGATGTGAAATTTCATTGTCAGATTTAACAGATTAGTCGACTACGAAAATAATCATTAGTTGCAGCCCTACTTAAAATACACACAAAAAAGCATAAACTCCAACAGAAAGCCCACTGGGACGACAGGAATTTATCTCCATATTAGTATATTCACTATCATGACCTAAATATGACAAAAGTAGATACACACTCACTCACACTCACACACACTCACACACACACACACACACACGGCATGGAAGCTCATACTCTGTCTCTTTCTTTTACAGTCTATAATTACAGCTATAAATTGCTGACTGTTGGACTAAATACCAGAGAAGCCTTGCACACACACACACACACACACACACACACACTGGAAAAAAACCCAGAAACACTGGGAAGACAGTGTGTATGCGTGCACATACATGCATGTTTGTGTGGTCAGTCAATGACAGGGTGTGTGAGTCGTTTTTAGAAGAAGAAAAATAAAATGGAAAGATCAGATACAGAGAGAACATACTTTTCCATTTCTGTCTCATTAACTTCTGTAGCTTCTGATTCCTTTTGTCAGTCCCTCTTTCCTGTCTTCCTTCCTCTCTCATCTCAATCCTCTCTTCTTCTTCTTTTCCTCTTGCCTTCGTTTCAGTCTCTTTTGTTCTTCTTTACTCCCTTCTTTGTAAATTTCTACCTACCTTTCTAAAAGATAGAAGTTTTCTTTGTTGGAGTTCATTGTTTCATGTGTCTTTTTGTCATGTAGGGGAAAATGAAGTACTAAAGTGTTTCCAAACAGCCCTGTTAATGAGCTTAGCTACTTAGACTTTCTGACACATAAACTAATAACCGCTGTCAGTTTGATATGTCACACTGTGTTTGCCACTTGTGAGGCAATGAGAAAGTAAGCAGGGTTTAAACTTCTATGTTGCGCTCTTTTTTTATTCTAAACACAACTACTTCTTTCACTTTTTATGTGTACATCTACACACCATGATTACCATCTAGGAATGACTGTGCACCATTATCCCCCATATGTGAACGATTATCACATCTCGTCCTTCACTAGTTTGGCCATTCTGAACATCAATGAATACATGGTTATATCACATGGTTGGGCAACACGTTACACAGCCATGTTTGTTTCAAGCATACCTGCCTTCATCCTTTTTCTCTCTGGTTGTTTTCAGTTCTGAAGATAGTCAAGCAGGAAAGAGTACCAGTGTAGTAAGCAAAGGGACACCATGCCAGCGACTTCATGCCCAGGGAACACAAATAAAGTGGGGGGTCTAGGGGTCCAAGATTTTAGTCTCTGACACATCGTTTCCTGCATTCAGGTGAATTTTTATGCAACAATTTGGGATTTTATGCAACAGTTCTCTCAACGTGAATGTAAAGGAAATAAGGGAGTCAGTAAGAGTATTTGTCCACCAAGTGGGTTTTTGATTAAATTTCTCTCTCACACATTTCGCTCAGAAGCTTGTGCAGTTCTTCTGCTTACAACCTCAGAGAAATGTCAACTTGTGTTTCTGGGAGAAAGCTAACTTTTTTAACTAATTAATTTATGTTAACTGTGATAGTAACCAGGATACTAATTTTGGCTTGCGAAAAAACCTCTCAACATCAACTAAATGTACTTAACATCCGACTCCTAATGAGCTTTTTCAATGGCACTGGTAAAATGTAGACAGAGCAGTGGATATGAGTTGCCTTTATCCTGACTGACAGGTCGCCATGGTAGTGACATGTCAATCACAAGATAGCTAAGCTCTAAAGCATACCCTGTTATATTGTTTATTTTCCTCTAAATGTGACCATAATTTAGGAAATGAACATCACGCTGTGTGGAAGAAGACTTGATTGAGACCATAACCTCATTACGAAAGTGTTTACTGTCAAATGACAAGTAAACAAGTAGGATCAAATGACAAGTAGGGTCATTTTGCCATTACGCAATCGGACTTCTTTTTGCAACCACTGGAGTCACCCCCTGCTGGCCATCAGAAAGAATGCCGGTTTAAGGCACTTCTGTGTTGGCTTCACTTTTCAGAAGATTCACGGTCTAAACACTGTACAATCTAATAACAACAGTTCACACATTAGTCTATTCTAATTTAAAACTTCTCCACCATGTCTCGTGAAACCCTTTTTGTTTTATTATTGCTCATGTCATTCCAAGCGTGTGAAAAAATGGTATATGCAGAGTATAGTGTGCAGCAAAATACGGGACAAATAGTATACCATATTGATTCAGTAAAGGGACAGGGCATTTTATTTTTCAATATGGGACAATCCAGTATTAGCCTTTATGTACGGGTGGCAACTTTAACGACCACCCAGTGGTCGTCTGGGATTGGAAAAGGGAACACATAAGGTAGCATTTTTCGATAGGGCAGAGTGACTCGATATACTCTGCTGTCGATTTGCGCTACGGTAGCATTTTTCGACATGGCAGCATAGATCGTCAGAACACCGGGATATGACTTTTTGGCCATATCGCCCAGCCTTACCTGACACTTCATAGCCACAATTAATTTGCACACAAGTCAAGAATATGAACAGGCAGAATTCACTAAAATGCTTGTTGACATTAATGGTAGTCTATGTGCTGTAAATACTGTAGAGAAAAGGCATGGTCACACCAGCATTTAAAATAAATTAGATTCCGACGGAATTATCACAATAAGTGGATTTGCTGGTAGGGGAGATGTGTTGAACCATCCACTGACTCAGCCAGCTATCTTGCTAACTAGGTCTAACAGTTAGAAAGCTCATTAGGTCAGAGGTTTTATTTCCCCTATTACTAACTATTAATTGAATGAAATGGTATAGCATCCTGAGAACAAAATGCCAGTGAGGAGTAAACGGCCCAGTAATTACAGAGGGAAAGAAAGAAACTCAGTGACTAACAACAGCTAGCCAAACTAATTAGCATGTTAGCTTAGCTGCTACAGTAGTTTACTAACTAACCCTGTGAGTATTCCCTTCCTCATCCAGCATGGATGAATTTTGCTGTGACACTCTCAGGTCTTGACAACATGATTTAACAACAACACAGTGACTCTTTCAAGAAGTTACTGTATGTTTACTGTATGTTTCTAATGGAGGGTTTAAGATGTCGAGCTTTGTAGAGATCGTCAGATAAGTTCAGGAATCAACTGTGGCATTATGTACTGTTGATACAGTCCAGAGTAGACAGCAAAGGCCATGAGTCCACATGTGTCCGAGGCTGCCGGAGCCGGTCGGTCCATCAGACACAGCTGCAGCGCGTCCCAGAAGCGTGCCAGATGCAGCTCTCAGCTCCGCGAACAATACACAAGTCTATTTTTGACTGAAGCCGCATCAAGCTGCACAGAACGGCATAGACCCGGTCAATTTTCTAAATAAAACACTGTGCATACTCCCGATCACAAATCAACAAAAAACACAGTTCATACAGACAAAAAAGAATATTTTAATTACATAGCCTACTTACTCATAGTAGAAGCACAAAAATCACTGATTACCAAATCAACCAAATCTTAACATGTCAGCAAAATCAAGCAGGAAAACGCTCTTATTCTGAAATGCATTTGCAGACTGCAGACAACCGAACAAAACCAGTTTGCAGAGAGCTCTTTCTGGTAAGCAGAGTAGAAGTCATTAGTGCACTAAAGGACAAATTAACAACAATCCAACAATGTGCTCAGCTGCTGAAATGCGTCTGAGACTCTTCCAGTGGAGGTTAACATGTAGCAGTAGCCATACTCTAGTGGACTTTCCGGCTAAAAATGTTATTTATATTTTGCTTCTAGGGGATAATGCACTTTAAGGACCAGTCTTATTCTGATTCAAAAATTTATATGTTAGCAGAAATGCAGCATTATATGGATGTGAACACAGTTTGAACACAGCCTGTTTATTTAAGTTTGAAAGTGCACAAAAAATATGTTGTCCTCAAAACAATGAATAATCGTGATCTCAATATAGATCAAAATAACCGTGATTATCATTTTGGCCATAATCGTGCAGCCCTAACTAGAATCTACAATACCCACTTAGCTCACATAATGGAAAGAAAACCCAGGGATCTGTTTCCGTTCATTCATCCAAATAAGATTCATTCTCATTGGTAAATCGCAGGCACTTATATAGTATGTTTTAACCCTGGTAGAAACCTGAAACAAGAAAACCAGGACAGAGAGTCAGTCCTTCACTCTCACCTTCTTCTTCACTTCTTCCTGGTCCTCCTCCGGGACGATCTATCCATTCCCGACACAGCTCAGAGCTCTCCTCGCGTGACAGACAACAGCATGCGTAAAACAGCAAGCGCCGCAGGAGGGAGGAGGCGCGGCTGACGACCTCCGCCGCCACGACATCTCTGCCACAACTGCAGCAGTCCGCCGGTCTCCATGGGCGACGGACGGAGGACCGCTCGTGCCGACACCACTTGGTTCTGGAGCGGGCGCATGCTTTCAAAATAGCTGCCGTGCAGTCCATAGCTAGCTGGCAGTGGGGTGTTTGATTGGTTCAGAGTGGTTCCATGCAGAGGGAGGGGCTAACAAATCAAAGAGCTGCTATTGCCCCAGAAAACCACAGTTACCTTGATGAATGAGAGCAGGGTTCTTTAACTCAGCTGTTAGCGTTGTTTGCTGAATTTCTGTTTGTCCTTTCCATTAAGCATTCTTGGCGAAAATGTGAACGCACAGGGTGACATCACTATCCAGTCCTCTTCTTTTTGGTCCTGAGCTCCTCCTTCTCCAGAGTACACAAAGGAGAGAGGGAGAGAAAGATAAAGAAGGCAGAAATGAAGAGATAAGGAGGAAGAGGCTCTCTAAGAAAACACTAGAGGTACTCCAACTCCTCAAGCAGAATGACTACAGCTAATAAGCAGGATAGTCAAACATGCAAATCCTGTGGGCAAACTCCTCATGTGTTCAGTAAAGGTACGGTGTTGTTACTTTCAAAGATGAAACCAAAATCCACTTTGAAAGTTGACCGCAACTCACAGCAGCGCTGGACGATGTAATCCACTAGTTATTGTCCTTTATAGCCCCAAAACGAAATGCTTTTCATTCACAAGCAGAGCCAAAACCACGCAAAGCAAAAACAACAACTAAAGCACGAGGTGGAACGAGTAAATCTCCCAGATGATTTCCTCTTTTGTCAGACGGACAATAAGTAAAGTTTCCAAGTGTTAGAAGAGTTTCTCTTGCAACAGCAGAGCCTTCATATCTGGACTGAAAGACGACCTCCCTCGTCTGACTGCACTGCAAATAAAAACCTCCCCTCCTCCAACCAAAAACACACACACACACACACAGAGGAGAGAAAGGGAACGACTGCAGGAGGAGCTGAACGGAGAGTAATCTGTTACATGTCGAGAAGTGCAAGCAAAGTTTAGAAATACAGTTTGGTTTTCTTCTAACGGGGGAAAAAAAAGCACTCAGAGAGAGACAGACTGAAGGAAGAGCTAGATGAAGGTCGGCAGAGCAAAGAAATGCTGCAATTAAAGTGAACCTCCTTTTCCAAGAACAGAAGAGCGTCTGACCACAAATAACAGTGAAGATGGAAGACTGTAATCCACTTAAGTCCAGAAAATGTGAAAAATGTGGAAAGGAAAATACTAAACAAAGAGTAGGATTGAATCTGTTAAATGATGTTTAGCTGAGCTTTCTAAAACATAAAACTATTCAATGACAGGAGCAAAGGAAGAAAGATGGGGTCAGAGTGAAGACTTAAAGAAAGAAAGAGCTGCATTGAGATTTACAGAGTCATCCTGCTGTCCATGGAAAAAAAAGATAAGTACAACGAATATTAACTACAAAGCCAGAGAGCAGTAACTGCAGAGGACGTGAAGTTGAGAAAAAAGGGTTTAAAGTTTTGAGGCAGGCTGTCAAACTGCGTATATCATCGTTTTCAGATGCAAAGCTCTAAAAACCCTTTGTACACCATTTGCCTAGCACCAAACAGTTACAGTTTGCAACTAGTTGGTGAAAATAACCTGCACTGAAGTGGTGCAAGAATAGGTGAAATAGCGTTTCCCCATTCATTGACACACAGCAGCGGAACTTCTTTGATTATTAAAATCTCCCGACATGCTGACAGGATCAGTCAGGATCGAATGTTAATTAATGTTCTGAGTTCTTCTACACATCCAAAAGGTCTCACACACAGTCGAGATTCGTACAGTGAAACTGAGTAAAGCAGCCGTCCTCCTGATCAATCCTGAGCTCCATCAGAGCATCTAAACGTGGATTTCAGAAGCTGAAAGTTTAATTATGTTTCTTCTGGAGAGTCTCCTCTGTCCTGTCATATTAAGTTCGTAACTTGTTTTTTTGCTTTGCTGCTTAAATGCGGTGGATGACAGATAATGTCAGAGCATCACGCCAATTCAGCTGCTATAATCATGACAGTACAAACAGCTGCTGATGTCAAATTATTAGGCTGTTCTTCATTCAGCACGAATCTGCTGTAATAATAATAATAATAATAATAGGCCTATAATATATGCAATAATCTTTTAGAGGCAAAAGGCGCACCGTCCCAAAATAATTACAGGATTCTATGTAGTGCTTTATAGCCAACATTGCTAGGGCCAATTCCATGGTACCAAAATCGTACGGTTATTGTGTGGCATTTGCACTACCTGATCATAATTTGTCTGTCGTATCTATTATTTTATGCACTTTCAGTGAGCAAATAAGTGGGGAGAAAGACCATGATGAACAGCCTGTAGAAGAAGAGAGAAAAATTCAGCTTTAATAAAAGTATTTTTTGTATGTATTTCATTATATATCATGTACGTGTATAATGTTGGTTGTCTTTAGGTACTTTCGGTATGAATTACCATAAATAAGCCCTGTTAAAAGAAACAAAAACTGTGGACCTCACCATTTTCTAACCTCTGGTTGGTTGTCCACGTGGATTGACCTAGATTAGTTATTTATTAGCATTAACTCTGATAATAAGTCATCTTTAGTTTTAGTTAGGACTGGCTGTGGCTATCTCACCAGCTAGCTTTCAATTCATTAGTGCTCTTGCTTTAGTTAGTTAGTCTATTAGTGGGCAATAAGTGATACGATACGGTTTGATATAACAGTGGCATCGAGAGTCCGCAGACCAGAGTGCAGTTACTGCAGCATGTAGCAATATAAAGACTGAAGTAACCACACAGCCTGAGTGCACTTACTTCACGTTTGGTTTTTAGCTCTGGTTTGTGGTTAATGCAACCTTTAAAAAGCAGTTTTCACAGAAATTCGACATTTCTAACTCAATTTTGACCAAATATGTGGTTACTGCTGTGAGACAAGAGGGAGGAGAAAGAATACAAGGGAGGGAGGCCAAAAACACAGAGGAGAGGTAAAGGAGTGAAGAGAAATACACTGAAATCAGAGCTTGTGTGTGTGTGTGTGGGCATGGTGTACTGACTTTAAGAAGTTGCCTTTGCTCATGATGTTTTTGTTTTGACAGAGAGCGAGCTGCAGCGCGGCACAGAAAGAGAGCAAGAGAGAGACTCCACATGGTAATGTTTAGGAGAAGTGTGTCAAATCAACCCCGAGGAGGAGGAAGAGGAGCAGCGGAGGAGAGGAGAGGTTGGCAGGGGGTTGGGTTACATTTCTGTGTTTTCTCTCTCACTAAAGGCACAGAGGGATGATCAACAGGGTCAAAGGTCAACCCCCCCTGATTGCAGACCCAATGTAACAGGTCACAGCTGTGTCTGTAGGAGAGAGGGAGGAAAAAGAAGAAGAAAAAGCGCTAGTTGTGGTTTCTCCCTGATTCTGTCTTTTCTTTCCAACCTACTTTAGATATGACTTTAGCATGCTCCTTAAGTATGACAAAAGCATCGACACCTGTGTTCCCACACAAACTGCATTCACGCAGATTCACAAAATATGCCAGCTCCTCCAGACTGGAAAATAGCAACGAAAACGAGGCACTGAATTTACTGTTTACTGAGTGTTGGGTAATGGTAAGCGTTCATTCCGAAAGACCGTTTGAGTCAAGCATAGACACTTTGTTATGTGTTGCTCTGACTACTCAGACTAACTATTACATATGACACACATTTTCCACAAGCTTCTTGATCCAAATCCTGAGGGTCCTGACTCAAAACTATTTCGTTTACAGGACTAAATCATTGATCTGGATTATTAATGAATGAAAGTTCATCAGGACAGTGTGGGTGTGGTTGGATTAGATTTGACTGACAGTGGCAAAACAACCCACCCACTATCATCAGAACTGAGCCCGCACAATTCACATTACGGATGTCACGAGAACCAATATTTTGGTACAAAGTCGATACCAAAATTCTGAAAACAGGTCGGTACTTGTTTTGCTAGGTACCTAAGGTACCAGGTATCCAACACATGGATAGCGACAACTGCGGCTGCAGCAACAGCTCCGTCTCATCTGTCCTGGAAATCCTTTTTGTTAAAGAGTGTATTTTGAAGTACATTAGATTTATCGTTTAGTTTTTGTTTCTTATCGTATCGAATTGAGCACAGAAAATATCTCTAATGTGTGTGTGTGTGTGTGTGTGTGTGTGTGTGTGTGTGTGTGTGTGTGTGTGTATTTCCATTATGTTGAGCACCGTTCATCCAATCAACCTCACACGTCACGGGTGTGCTGCGGAACCAAGGGAGTGCGGTGTCTTATACTGAATAAACCAAAGTACAGCAACAATGGCGAGAGGCGGGGCTTATATGCTCTGATGTGGTTGTGAATTGTTGAAACGGAAGTTATCATCATCACGGAATATGTTAGAAATGAATGTGATGAAACAGAGATGTACGTGTTTTATGACGTTCTAAGGAAACGCTGAATATCTAGCAGTGTCGCAGCCATTGTCTTGTTGTTTTAGTGCTATTATTGCTCTAGGTGAAACCAATTTGAGACGCACATTTTGAACAAACACTGCACTGCATTAAAAAGCTCAGGGAGGCGTCACATCGACTATGAACAGGCACTGCACTACTACAAACAAATACAGGAAATCTGTCAAGTGAAATAAGCAAAACGAGTGTCCATGTAGGATCACATCGCTGGTAGTAAGGAGCTGATTGAGAAAATTTGTTTTACAGTAGCGTCATGATCTAAATTTAGTCCAGTTTGTGACGACTTATTAAATGCCAAAGCCCCGCACAACGTTTTTAAATGTTATGAAACAGCATTTTACACACTGCAGTGCTAATTTTACTCTGAACACGACCTTACAGTGTATCCTGTCATCGTCCAAATGTCTGACCACAGACACTTCAGCTGACAGAGCAACCAATGAACAAACAATGGTATGACACTGGCGCTCAGCCATGTTTGTTTTGCTAATGTTATTTGTGTAGCTCCCAAAAATTTAAGCTAGCATTGCCATGTGTTTCTCCCTGTGTGTGTGTGTGTGTTGTCCTGTTAGTCGTTGTTATGTGTTGTTATTGTACTGTAAGTGGGTGCACCCCACTGAATGTCTTCAGATAGATAATCCTACCAGTTCTTTTTGCCAGACGAAGGTTGAGGAGGGGAGAAGAGGGAAGCGAACGGGTGAATCCCTCCATCATCCTGACCTCTGACCCCTCTGACTCTATGCCACCTGTTGAAAGAGAGAGGGAGAGAGCTTGAAGTTTGAAAAAGTTTGCTGTGTAACGTCACAGAACCTGCCATCCAGGCATCGATACATTTTGTCTGTAGAATGAAGATATATGGCATCAGATACATCTGACATTACTGCATTTGTACAATCAGACTAGAGGCAGTCTTTACGAACAGAATCCAAGATGGCGGGGTACACGAGATATATATAATATATATAGAGGTACTGACCAGTATTGTTCTTTCGGCTTTTGCCTCCCAGCAACATCTTAAGGCTGTTTCGGAACATGACTGCTCGCAATGTAAGGTCACACACACACACTTCCTGTTAATACCTCCTGGGGGGAGAGAGAGAGACAGAGAGACAGAGACAGTCAGTGACCTATTAGAATTTATACATTTATTTCCAGCTGACTGGTAACATCCAATATTCTTGATTAGATTGTCTTTTTTTATTCCATGCATTCCTCTTCCTTGTCTAAACCTGGCACCTACATTACCCACAACGCAACTTGACCACCAACTTGGGTCAGAGTTAAGGCTGCTCTATTAAGGCAGAAATCCTAATAATGATGATTATTTTGGTCAATATTGATTGATGACTATTCAACACAATTACTCAATGACTTCGGGAACATCATTCATTTACAGAACTTTTAAAATTGAATGCTTCATT